AGCTACTAGGAACAAGTGCCACGCTAGTAGTAACAGGTGCCTTACTACTAGTAACAAGAAGCTACTAGACTCTTCGTCACGACGTCGCGTGCGCCCAGGGATGTTGACCGACTTGTCGTTAGCTCTCGACACCCAGAAGGACTTCAAGCCGCCGTCTCAGCCGTTGAACTTGGATGAAGTTGACGAAGCCTGGTTGTGCTGACATCAGCCGGACGCTTCTGCAGCCCGTAGTTTCCCTATGTACGCCTATATACTGTATATATATACTATATATGATATATATATGTACAATGTATATATGATATATTGTACATGCACACACCCACGACATTTTGCGGCACGTAATATTTTTGAGTCTTTTTGCATCATTATCATTTTTAAATATGGACTCAGAACATTCTCTTCAAACTTTCTTGACAAAAGCAACAGCTTGGACTCGACATTCATGTTCCCAAAAGCAATCACACTAGAGTGAAATCCGTGCCCTTGGCCGTGTATGGAACACTGAGGGATCATTGTGAACAGCTTCCGGAGGGCAAGGCTGCCGGGAGAGGGCCGCGAGTCGGGCCTTTTTGAAAGTTTGAAGCAACATGTCATGGTTGGATTCTGTAATCTGGCTTGCAATGGGGAGCAGTGAGAGGGAACTGGCCGCACAGAGATTCTGGCAATTTTTCAGTGACTAGCACCCCAAGGATGAGAGAGGAAAATTATCACCCCCAAGGATCATCTTCACATGAACAAAGTTAAACTACCCTCAAATTCAAGTGTGATTGGTCATGGATCCGAGCAACACCTGGTTGATCGTGCTAAGATGTCCACATCGGTGACGTCCTGTGCCACTGCACAGGGTGCCTTGGGGAACATCGACTTCAACGTGACGGTGCTCACCACAGGCTTCTGGCCATCCTACCAGGCTTGGGACGTCGTTCCATCCAACAGATCGAACAGCCTGGCAGTTGAAGTGGACAGGGCCAGGCCTAGCTCCGTTGGACCCTCCACGAGGGTTTGGTTCTTAGTTTCCAAGATGGGCTCTTTGAGGTGCAAGAAGCCAGCCTCTGCCCGGAGATGCAGAAGGCACGACCCCGGACATCGCGAGACAACAACCTGCAACCGGGTGGGGGGACTCGGAGTGAGTTCGGTTTTTGGGGGTCAAAGCCACTTGGCTGAGCAGGTGAGATGGATGTTCAATCATGTTGAAGATGTTTCGTTGATTTCTAGACACATCCAAGCAACCAATAAAACCATGGACTTGTCCATCCCTCCCATTTTCTGTCATTTGATGATCCGAGTAAAGAACCATCAAAATCTGGGTCTGTCAGAAGCAGAAGCTTCATTACTGCGGAGGTGATGACATCATCTGTTGATGGATTGAACCGAAAGCAATATCATCCACTAATCCGTAGGTCGTAAGTCGCAGGATGATAGGTCACCATGGTGACTCTGTGCCTCAACCAGCCGGATTTCCATCTCTTTGTTGTTCTTCCTGTTCCGCTCCTTTTGGATGGAACTGGTGGCACATGGCTATATAATGGCCACGACCACAGGGTCTCGGCTTTTTGATCGTGGGAAATCCCTAGCTGCCCCGTGCGGGACGATGGTGCCCTGGTAAATGTGACCTCGACTGTCACCCGGATGACCGTCTAGAAAGAGTCTTCATGTCTTTTCATTGGGCATATTCGAAGAACTAAGTGCTAGGGCAGAATGAACAGGTGTCTCCATCATGCCGCCCACCTTCATTGGTGGCCGCTCGGTCTCACTCCCATGGGCCCGCTTGACGGGTTTCTGCAGTAGTTGCAGGCCATCCAGGTCTTCAGCAACTACTACAACGCCTGGGAGCCCTGGTGATAGTTGACAGCCTGTCTTACACACTTTCTGTGCGTACATGCACAACATACTCCAGACATCTCAAGACGTACTCAAGACCAGTGTCGGCCTGTTTAGTCGAAGTCTCCAAACTACAACACCACTCCCGCTAGAATCCTCCAAGGCAACTCTGTGTCCGCTTAGTCGAATTTCCTCCTGGAGATTAAGGAGGTTGATCATTGACCGTCCGACACCTGTCACTTCAAATTGGCTTCCTAACTCGATCTTTGGCTGACCCACATGGATGTCATACCAGGTAAGGAAGCTAAGAAGATCCCGCTGAAGTGATGGGAAAGTCGTCGGTACCCTGACACTCACAAACAGTCAAAAAGACTCACTCACCTCTGTAAACGCACATGGCTAAAGTAGGGATGCTAGCGGCGGACGCCAATGCCTTTGGGACCAAGAATCGGTCATGACAATCTCGGTAGCTTAAGCATATGCTTCGACCATGCTTGGCCATGCTTCGACTTTGTTCATCTAAAACAATTTGAACCACTGAAAGTCCAAATGTTCAAATCCCAGACATGTTAGTGGTTCACAATGTCCAATTACTTTAAGCCATGCTTAGGGTTCAGATCCCAGACATCTAGACTGCAATGGTCATGAACACCCCCAGCGTCACCCAGCATCGCGGCGTTTCTGTCGAGCCGCTGCCGTTGTTCTTTCAGGGGAAGACGCAGCATCGGCGGCTTCAATGGATCCATCACCTGGGCCAGGCATGGCAAGTCTAACGTTTCCCAATGGTTCAGATGCCCAATCACGGCAATCACGTCAAATCACGGCATGGGTATGCTGAATGTTCTAGGTGGGTAAGTAAATGTAAATAAGGTTCTACCATCAACTGCACAGACTAGGTATTTTGCCACTTCTAGGAGATTCATCAGCCTAAAATCATGATTTTACATCACCCGAGTTCTTGATCAGGCGACCATCGCGGCCAAGCTCAATGGTCGAAGGCGGGGAGGAAAGACTGGGACACACGAAACCTCTAGGGACTTACCCAGTCAATGGATTGGTTTCCCCACTAAAATATCCAACCGAAAAGGATAAAGGTTAGCCTTTATGTTGGGAAACTGAGGGAGTGGGACTTCCATTCATCCACTGTCCATCAGACGGAACCCGGGATCAGTCCAAAACGAGACGAGACGGGATCGGTCCATTGGACCTTTTGAGTCATGTAGCTAGGTGGCTCCGAAATAGGGTGCCATCCAAAGGCCCCTTGTCAAAGAAAGCACAAAACCAGGGTACCGCTTCTTCCCCATCTTGGCTTCTGCCTTGCTGATGTGTTGAACAAACATGTTTCAACTGGGGTTTGAGGGGATTTCAGACTAAATAAAGCTCTTCTGGTTTGCGGGAGTGTTTTAGTCCTTCACAGATGCTGCACTGGCTGCGGCAGACCAGTAGGAAGTCCTGAGACAAGTCTGCATTTATCCCGACCATTTTCCAGTTTTTTGGAGTCCACGATGACTCCGGAACCACCTCTTCCCACAGAGTTTTATATTGTCAGAGATTCTGTAAACCCACGAGAGGATAACTAGAGTGATCCGTTTTGGAGAACCAGCCATGTACTCCGTGGATCAAATCAAACCAAGCATGGTGAGTATGCTATGTCTTTGGTGGAGGTGTCTGAGATGAGATTCTCCATTAGATCTAAGCCTCGGTGAGAACAATGTACTGACACCTGCAGTAGGAGTTTCTGCTTGCAGTATCTTGCAGTAAGCAGTCCATGATTTTCACTTTTACTTTGTTTGGCTCAATGTCCTCCACGTGTTGGTTTGGCATTGTCACCTAGCAGCTCAATGAATTTGTTTCACCCAATGGCCTAGTGACTGTAAGTTGCGGAGGGTTTGCACAGGTTTTTGTCAAGGAAGGTTTGCCCACCTGAGGAGGTTAGAACATTGAGACGCGCGTTTTGTCCTTTGCTATTGGCACTCAAAAAAGCAACTTTTTCCTGCAACACTTGGTGGAAAAGCCCCAGTGAAGCAGTGAAGCAGGCACGACCTCATCGTGAACTCATACCAGGCACGGCACGTTGGATCGATTCCCGGTTTGGGGATTCGGGGTTCCTTCAGGGCGGACCTAAGGTCCGGGCTGTCTCAGAAGGGATCTTCCTTCCATGGTCCCTGGGCAACGAGACCTGTTTGAAGGCTCCCTCTGGTTTTGGTTTGGCCGGAAGTTTGAAGGTTCATGGACCAAAAACCATTATATAAGCCAGGGGATCCCCACATTAAGGGGGATCCCCACATTAAAAACACATGCAGTAGCGTTCACTGTCAGATCAACTTGCATTTGTGTTTGGCATCATCGGTTGGACCCTCGTTCTCAGTGGGCTGTAATTACTGAAAAACCCTCAGGTCTGCAAGATTGGTAGAGGCTGTTCTTGCACGATCTTGCACCGTAGGACCAGAAGAAACTACTCCGTTCTACAGTCCACACCTATGACTCCACCTAAATTTGGAATGACCAAGCCGGGACTATCCGGCAGCTCAGAAAGCGCACCGATCTGAGCCATTGGAGGCCTTGATCCTCCTGCTCTTCACTCGGGATGAGGCTCATGACCTGACCTTCATCCAGGCGAGACAACTCAAGAAATCAATTCTGGGCCCCAGAATCTGGGGGCGTTTGACCCAGCTCCATTTGTTTGCTTCTTCTAGATGCTGCCCTATGCGGGCAGCAGTTCTTTTTGCAATTCATATTCCTTGTTTGTTAGCTCTTTACAGTCTTCTTCACTTTTCTGTCCAGGCTGTTTGTTGTAGGGATGTGTATATATAGTCAATTCCGGAGATGGGGATCAATGTGAGTTCATGTCCTCTTCTGCACTTGTAGCAAGGCTCATGTCATCAAGATGTCACACTTCTTAACTTCTTTCTGCAGGATCAACACATTTTGGTTGTCGAAAGCAAAGTGTGAGTGATACAGTGATACATCACTTTTGTTGCCTTGCTGCCTTCCAGCTTTTCTACGGTAGTCGTTTGGCAACTTCTGGCACGGAGTCCCCCGAATTTCCCACTGCTTTTTTTGGGGACTGAGGGACGGTAATGGAAAGATATGGGAAAGTAGCTGGATGGTTCATGGACAGAAGGCACAACCTCGTGGCTCACCTCAGTAGTCTTTGAGAAGCGGGAACTTATCCCTCTCCCTGCGCGCTAGCTAGGTTAGTTGATTGGAAAACGGACTGTGTAACTACCACAGGAGACACTTGTTTCACCCCTTGCCCATGCCGAAGCCGCCAGAATTCGACGGGCTTGGAGCCGAGCATGTGCAAGAAGCCTGGGCGCCCAGATCTCCTAATGTGCGTCAATCGCACCGCTTTTCGGGTACCCATGTTTGACCAGCTTCTGGTCTTGGAACCTCTTCGACCTGTTTGTTCCTTTTGGTTTTCAAACATGTTCAAACCTGCAGATGCATCGAGCACGTTCCGCCAAAATACTCGTGACAACTGTTACGGGTGAAGCTTCCCCACCATTCCTGGGGGTAGTTCTTGGACCACACATGGCTAACACCCACCCTGGCGAGAACACCTGCGAGCCCAAGGCGCTCTAATGTAGCGAAACACTTCGACCGAGTCATGTGCACCTAGTGATCCAAATCCATGGAAACTGGAAACAAAGGATCAGACTGATTCTTGCCTAAAGGCGGACATCAAAGGGCTTTTTCTGGGAGAAGATTCCTACAGAGCCGCGACATGGGGGTCTTGTGGGTTTATGTGGTACTCTGGCCATGTCGATTGATGCTCAACCGAGGCTTTTGGCAACTCTGTCGATCGCGAAGCCCCGCTCTCAACAGGGAGCGAGACTCCGGTGAGCAGGAATTGGTCGAAATGGCAGGCTGTGGTTGAACACGGAGATGGCCAATTCATCCCCAACCAATCTCTTGAAGTCCCAAAACACCATGGGTTGGACTGGGAACAGCCGTTTTTTTTCTTTTAAATATAAATAAATAAATAAATATATATATATATATTTTTAAAACGTTTTAAAACATTTTTGGTAGTTTGCAAACGGTATCAAATGGCAGATGCACTTATATAGATGATTTATGATTATTTTAGATATTGATTTCCACCAGCGGTCCGCATGAGGGTTGCGGGAAAGGACACCATGCGATATAACAACAACTTTTGCTGTACACGCCAAGCCAAGCCAAGCCATGTTCAAAAGAGCATTGTGTCTCCCTCGGCCAGTGACTCATGGACTCTGCGGTTGATTTGGGACGAGGAAACTCAATGAATCAATTGCAACGTGGAACCCACTAAAATACCCTCATGCTTTGGTGGGGAACAGCCGTTAAGATAGCTGGTCTTTGAGAAGTCTTTAAAACTTCGGAGTCCCCAATCTACAATGGTAGTGGCGATATATAGTGGCGTCCAAATTGCCCTGCTTGGAAGATCATTGCAAGCTTTCAGTGTTAGAAACTATCCACTTTAAGTGTTGGATGGGAAGTTTGCCCTACATCCACCGTATTTGCTTTGACACAAAGTGATCAGGTTTAAGATCCTCAGCAAGACCGGGGATGCCAAGACCATCGAGGACCGTGACGTCGGCGATGGCGGGCGGTGCTTCTTGTTGCCACTTCGTGTCGGTTTTGCAGCTTAGTGAACGGCCATGGTGAACATGCGGGGAGTGTGAAGGATTCTTAGAATCCCCGGCACTCGGAGATCACCAGACTTCTCGGAGGCACCAAGTTGGAATTGTTTCTCCAATGTCACTCCGAGCCTTTTTTCCTTTTTTCGCTTCGCAAGACGCTCTTCACACCGAACAGGATGATGCAACCTTCAGTCCAAACGATGGCTTTGTGCATGGATGCCTAGAGTCAGAGTGGTCAATGAGTGGCGCATGACGCGGAAGCGCGGAGTCTGCCGGAAGTGGAGACTCAACTTGTGGGATTCATTGGGTGTGTAAAGTGCTGTCCTCTCATCAAGTGCGCTCTACGGTCGTCAGAAAGCTCTCCCCTACATTGATCCCAAATGATCCCAAATTCTTGATGCTCTGAATCGACCTAGTTATCCCACTTATCCCCATCATTCCCCCTCTAAAGTTCTTCCGGGTTGTTTTTCCATGTGTTTTTCAATCGATTTTCCAGATCTCCCCTGTGGCCACCGCGTCACGGGAGAAGAAACTTCTCCGTGCTACGGGGATGTCCGAAAAAACGTCAATGCCCGAGGTGCCAGCACCGGAAAATTAAGATCCCTCCTCCAGTCACGGAGGAGACACACAATAAGGCACGTGGGGAAAATTGGTCATTTGGGGTCATGCAGACTTTGTTTTTCACTTTTGTGGCTGTGACTCAGTCGGGATGCTCTCGCACTGCCTGGTCTGAAGCGAAAGTCTGCAAGAAAGATCAAGAAAGGCTGTATATAAGGCTCAGAAATGTGTGTGTTTTTGTGTATCCAGCTTAGGGCTTTGATGTGGACTCGCCCCGTGGTGAAAAAAGGAAGAAGACTCCTGTCATGGCTTTGAATGGTCGAGTTGAGAAGCGATTTTTCGACGCTCATGGCGCCAGGAACGTGTTGAGGAGGATCGCTCGATTGCCATCGAGGCAGCTATTGTGAGGATCATGAAGATGAGAAAAACGCCGCTCGATCTGCTGTCTGGGCATTGCAGGTTAGATCATGTTGGAATTCTTTCCACCCAAAGGAAACACGCTGGGTTGAAGCAAATCAATTCCATTTGTCAGTTCTGACAAGCTCGATTTGTTAGCTGTATGACGGTATGGTTTTTCTATGTTTTTTTTCGAGTTTTTTTGGTGCCCTGGTTTCCACAACTGGGTTTTTGCAGGTCTCGTAAGTATCCAACAACATGAGACGTTCGACTTCGCCTTATTCAAGCTGGAATTTTGGTCCTTCGACAAGACCCTACACCAGCACCCTTTCTGCTGGTATGAAATCAGCACCACTGCGTGTGGCACACCATCGTGGCAGACCCATCTGAAGCAAAGAAGAGGTGGCAGACCCACGTCCGTGGCAGACACCTCTAAGGCTGAACCACCAGCAGCTGGTCACAGAGGCTGGATAAATGGTGGACCTGAGGCTTTTTGGTCTCCTCAATCCATTGATCTCTTCTTGGCATCAGAAATTAGGGGCACTGGGGAGGTTGGTGGCCCGTCTTCTGATTATATAATGGTTTGTGTTATGCCATCCCTTTTTGAAGGTTTTGAAATACCGATTTCATCAGCCTGCTCATTGTTCTTTTGTTGTTGCAGCTGGTACAGCTGAGCTTTTTGGATCCTGAGCGGAAACCAAGCAAAGGGCTGTGGATGATTCTCGTTTTGCTTGGTGAAAGAACAAGTCACATGTTGCGTCCGGTTTGACAAACGTGTAATGCAGACTGCTGATTGCTAAGCCCCCCCATGTGGAGATGGTCAACCATTCTGGTAGGGGGTTAATGAATCAACAGTCTACATGTAGGATCTTCAAACATCTTTGCACCTGAGTTTCCGGAATCCAGAGACTGGAGCTGCCGAGAATGGTGCCACGTCCTTGAGTCACTATATGTTTCTACGTGTGGCGAGTGGAAGGTGAATGCAGGCCCCTGTCCAAAGATGACGGCCTTCACATCGTTGCGGTTTTCTGCAGTTCATGGGCCTCGGCGGGTTGGCGAACCCATCTGACCGACCTGCGGACCGGGTGGTGCCAGGTCCTGACGCAGTTGGCTTTCTTCAAGCCAAATCCTAAATTGGTGAAGCAACGCACGGGCATCCCAGGGGGATGTAAGGTTGGACGATGTTGGACATGTTAGAAGTTTGGACTAGGTGTGGATCTCACACCATTGGCTGGCTATGTTTTCGGCTGGTCCTCAGTCAACAAGTGTCCCTGAATATTGTGCAGAAAGGTTTTTAGAGCTGGCAGTTCATTCATCGAAGTTCATCCAGTGGTTAAGCGTTTCACCTGCAAAAAGGGTCTCCCGTAGGTGACACTCCCTGCGTAGATCATAAAGACTCGTCGACTCCATCGAGACAACGCATGATCTCATTTGCACGAACATGCGCAGATAGGGCCCTATATAAAGGTTCAGGAAGGAGCTCAGTGTAATTATATATATATATATACATAGCAAATGGGACCAGCCACTGTAAGTAAGTCCAGACTTGCTTGTGATCCCTGGTTGCACACAAGTGTTGAGCATTTGGTTCAGACAGAGCTGGCCATGGTGGGCCGCCATGCTTGGCCAATGGTGGATTGGTTGGACCTTCCTCGTGGTCATGCGATGCTTTCGTTCTGCTCGCAGGAATTGAACACCTCATCGAGCGCGAGTACCTGGAACGTGACAAAAACCAGGCCAGGAAGCTGAGTAGAACTGGAAGCTTCTCTATCAGAAAGGCTGTCGGTGTGCAATCCAGTTATACCCATGCTTCGAAACCTGTTGTACTTCATCTCCCCAGCATGACTGTACGAGTATGTTCCACAAACAGTCAAGCAGATGTAGTCGCTGATGTAGTACCTGACGTGCCATAAATCGGAAAGGATTCTTGAAGACACATGGTTGCTTGAGGCAGATGTGATTTTGATGCCTCGGCCGTTAGTCACAAGTATGCAGTATGAACAGCACAATTTCCTCAGTCTCAGCCTTGTGAAGGCTCGCCAAAACGGTTGGATGATCTTGAGGTGTTTTCATGTGCCTTCCATATGCCAAGGCGGTACTTGTGTCTTGCTCACGACTCGTGAGGATAGAGGTGTGTGTTCATTGGGATACCGCTGATGGCTTGACGTAGTTCATGCTGAACAGTTGCATGAAATTTCAACACATTCCGACAACCAACACATTCCACAGAATTCCAAAACATTCACATGCCAAAAAGTTCCAAAAACAAACTCTATAGACTATAGACCCTTTTGGAACTGGTACAACAAATTCCTGTTTGAGCCACCTCTTGTTTTGATCCATAGAGCGTCACCCCACCAGCTGTGCACTTGTCGAGGCTTCGATATACCGATACCTGGCCTAGGCCGGGTTTGGACTTCCCGAACATGTCTATGTGGTTTTGGCCATGTCGCCCAGTTTTCTGCATAGACCTCCAAGATGACCAGAATCGGCTTGTGCTATTTATCTACCACAGCCTTGTCCCACAATGTGAAAGACGGCTTGCTAAATCTCTCTGTTCATGTGGAAAGCAAGCAGTTTTGATGCATAAAGACCTGGAGGCTGCAAGGTTGAGTTCTGTTTCGTGGGTCCAAAACCACAGTCTGAGCAGTGGATGACTGTGTGCGCTGGTTGTGGTCCACTTTGTTCTGTGAGGGTCCACTGGGTTGCGCTTTTGAGGAAAGTCGAGGGGGGGAAGCGCGAAGCGCAAGAGATGGGGAAGCGGCCGACTCCAATGGTCACTGCTAGGGCCGCTAGGGGATTGAAAGTCACTGAAGCGGATTACTTGAGGCTTCTCGAACCCTCCCATTTTGGCCGCCTTTTCCCCGAAACAAATGCTTTGGACGCCATCGGATGTCTCGCCAGGTCTTCCAAATGCCGAATTTTCACCCCCACGAGTCATGAGTGCTTGCGTGCTGCGCATCAAAAGCATACACCCGCAACCAGGGGGTCTTGGCGACCTGCTTTGGACCAAAGTCTGGGATATCGAATGCCTAGAGATGAAACCTGCGAGCCCACTATTTTTGGTTGATTTATGAATCGTGCGAATGCGAATTGCTCATCATTTTCACCAGTTCCAAAACTCAAACAGTTTGGATATGCTGCATGACTCCATGCTTCTCATCGGAGGAGCGACTCTAGGTCCAGGCCGCCAGGCTACTGGACGGGTGAGGCGGTCGCCCTCGGCCGCACGCTTCCAGTCGGCTGCAGGGGTCCACGTGTCAGCTCGCGAAAGCACGGTACCCGTCAAACGTGTGAAAGGCAGAGCTCAAAGGTTTCGTTTTATCCCCATGAGTTCTGAAAGAAGATTCTTTTTAGCAGGTGATGGATCCCATAGAAAGGTGCCACACCTCTAGAAAGGAAGAACCACACGCCAGTTTTGCCGGGCAGTTAACTCAATGACACAGACACACATACCATGCACACACACACACACACACACACGGGAAATCTCTCTCTCTCTCTCTCTCCCTCTCTCTCTCTCTCGCTGAAATTGAAGTTAGGACTAGGTCTTCAATGCACCAGTGGCTGACATATGGAATTCTGCCCCTGTGCTGCATGCTTCCACGGAGCGTGGCTGGTGCGTTTCAAACGCCAGATACAAGATGAACACCACCTGAACACGGCAAGTCACCTCTGGAAACTCGCCATTGTTGTGACGAATGATTTTTTCCCACCAACTTTGTGTCAGCTGATGTTTTAGCACAAGCACCCTTGGCTTCTTCACTCATAGCGTCACAGAGAAGCATAATCCAGGTTTTAGATTGTTTGGGGCCCTTTTTGTGTGAACGCAGCCCTTCAAACTGTTTGCAAACTTATTCTTTCTCAGATGATTCATCCTACTTCCAGGAACAGCTTTTCTCGCACAGGCCCTGTGCAGTTGAAGTCAAATTCAACCTGACTATACAGATTTGACAATTTTCAGAGTGTACATATATAATCATATCACATACTAGAATATATATATATATATACACACACACACTGTATATCATTTTGGGTCTCAAGACTGGCATGAACTTGCTCATGTAGAGGTGCTCGTCTACTTTGTGTGCTACAAAAAATACATATATATATATATATACACATAGTTTTAGTGGCTACAGGCCTTTCTAGGCTCCATTTCCCACATGACTCACAAGGCACAAAACCTTTTCACCAAGGTCGATATACTTGTTGGTCAAGGGGAAACACAAGCTGTTAAGCTGCTGAGGTCTAGGATCTGATTCCCAGTTGTTGCGCAAATCTGCAGCTGCTGCGCCTGCGCTGCTCTTGGTGGCTCCAGTGGCTCCAACGTGTTGGCCACCCGCAGGGCCCAGACCTACGCCGCATCGGCAACGAAGACGCGGCCTCCATGAACGCGCAAGGAGTTGCAGAAAAGGCCTTTGCGCATGTTCGCCACAGGGCTGTGTTCTTTTGACAAAGAGTGAGGTTTGCTTTGAACAAACTGGCCAGTGTGGTTAGGAATTCTCCCTTGTGGTGCGTAGAAATCTGGAGAATCCTTTTCACAATCCAACTCTCCGCCGGAAAACTTCCACCACTTGGCCCGCTCCCACCCCGCTGCAGCGACCGCTGAAGACACACGAGCTATTTGGCTTGAGAGATGGCGTCGTTTTCAGCGAACGGGTTTGAATTCACAGTTGCGAGTTGACATGCGTATCCATTGCACGCACCAGGGGTGAATGTGATATCATATAACATTGATATTGTTTTTTACATGAAAGCATACCACTCTTGTTTGGATCAAGGAACCGGGGGTTTTGTCGGTTCCTCGTCATTCCTCATCTGCCAAAGCACCTTCACCGTGAAACCTAGTGAGACAAAATTGAACGCTGCTGGCTTACCACTTTAAAGACCAGTCATGTGTACATTACTCAGTTGAGCATGTGGAACTTGGAAGCTGCGCTGGGTAGTCTTCCCCTCCAAGTTTAGGCAAGCCGAATTGATTTCATCGAACGCTTGATTGTTGTCCCGCAACACATTGGGCACTTCCATGCCTTGCATGCGAGCAGCATGGACTGGGAGGAAGAGGTTCGACAGGACGCTTTGTTGTTGGATCAAAGACCAAACTATTGGGTGATACAGAATTGGTCAATCAGCGGTTCCTCCCACTGGAGGACCTATCCACAAGTGTTTTTAACCATTGGGCAAGTGCATTGGGCCTTCTTTCTTGTTGGGGCGAGTTTGCACTGGTGATGGGTTGGGCGGTTTGGGAACCAGCTTGCTCAAGGGCCATCCCCTCCCAGGAGCTCCAGCACGCATTGATCAAGTGGACAGGTTCACCACCGACCCCGTACAGTGAGTGCCTGCAAGGAACCTCACACTTCTCAAACTTCATATCTGCAAGTGTTATGTTTCAACGATTCACTCAGATACCGAACTCAATCTTTCTCATGCATTTCTACCAGCCATAAGAAACTGAATCCATCGAGCCAACGATCGAAACCCATGGCACAAACGGCGCCCGAAACGCACCGGTCGATCTGCACCCCTGGCACCCTGGCACGGCAGGTGTGCTTGTCGCCCGTGGGCCATGACGTCTTCAAGGCACCCGGTGGGCCATGCTGCCGCGTGTTCACACGGGTTCGTTGCGGAGGGGCGTCACACCTTGGACTGCCAGTATTTCGGTCGGTGACCTACGGGCAGTAGGGATTAAGGAAGAGTCCACACCCGACTCTTAGGAAGAATCCCAAGAGGGAGCCCCTACCCATGTCCGGTGCCCAAGGGGATGAACACACCATATATCTACCCTCCTTGCAGACTGACATGGACCCTGACTTTCACCCCGTGCAAGACCATTTCCACTACAACCCCAGCGGTTTTATGCGGTTTTGAGAGTCCATATTGACCTGCAGGAAGGTCTACTGGACTCTCCACTGTGAACTACCCGTTCACCGTTCACGCGAAGAATGAACAGCCGGCCTCACTCCACGAACACCGTATGACAATGCCTTCATGGTGGATGGAATCCATCTTTGAGCTGATTTTCTACACACCCAGCAACAATGTGCAGGTCTCCAAAAAGAGGACGCACCGTTTTCCCGCTTTGCGATCTCCGTTTTCACCCGGCCGCTGCGGGTGACCTTCACCGTCTGAGGTGCGCATCCGAGAGCTGCCGATGGCGGACGGCCGGGGGCTCGAGTGAGCGAGCACGAGCGAGCGATGGGACGAAACGGTGAGGGAGTCTTGTTACTAGTAGCGTCCTTGCTCCTAGTAGCGATGCCAGGAGCCCCTAGTAGCTTCTTACTACGCATACGCAGTTTGATGATGTTTGGGGTCTGTCCTATGACCTGTAACAGTTTGTAAACAAAAGTATGTATATATATATAGTTATTATGATATATCACGGTCACTTTTTCACTACGTAGTTAAAGAGAAAGGCCAGGCTTTCCATCATCATCCAGTGTGTAGAGTCTTTTACACATCCCTCGATGGACGTACCAGAAGAACAAGCCTAACCAAAGAGTTGACCACATGCATAAAGAATGCAATCTTTGTACGACAGGTCCTTGTCATCCACCATGTGCGGAAGATTGACTTTCAAGTGCGATCGAAGTGTTCAGAACATATCGATATTCAGATTTTTCCTCTGCGGCACAGCGAACGCATAGGCTTGGCTTGGCTTGCCGTTTTTGTTTTGACAGTGAGGGGGGGTGACGAGCCTAAAGTGCCGGCTTGGGCAAAGCCACGTGTGATGACTTCAACTGGAAATTCAGAGTACTTCAACATTATACAGAACATCTGAAACACCTGTCTCACCTTTTTGCTTAGTCGTCTTCAGTCCCCGTCCCCAATGGCCGAGGTGTCCATGCCTCGACAGGATGTCAACTTTGGTCCTCCAGTATCGTCTTGGCACGGCATCTCATGGCCAGGCAACGCATGTCGCTGTCGCGACACAGTCATTAGCAGATTCGGGGGGGGGCAGCAGATTCGGCAGAAATTCTTGAGGGCTAATCCTTGGAAATGTTGGCAAATGACTTCGACTTAACAACTTTCAACTGTCAGATTTCTTCGACCACTGATTTCCAATGAATTTGTGCTGTGCAGGCCTGAGCTGGTCGAGCAGAAGAAGGTCTTGGAGGCCAGCTGCGAGTCGGGCGAACTGCTTTACACATCCACGCCTCAAGCACCTCAGCTATTTTAATCCCCTATTGCCATTCTGTTGCCACAACAACTTTTAAAGGGACCTTTGGACTTGCTGTGGCGAACCAAGATCTCAGTGGCTTAGAAGTCAAAGGGGCCATCAGCCGCCCCAGGTGGAGGAAGCAAAGAAACCGCGCATGGAGTTGAGCCAAACCATCACTCGAGAACTCCACACTTCACCACATCCCGGTGAATTTTTGATGGCCCTGGAAGCTCCCGAAGTGGAGATGTCCTCAAAGGCCAAACACCAAGGCCAGCTCCACCAGCAAATGGTTTATCTGATTTTATTTGGCTATGCTCAACAGTTCTTGGAGCCACAATCAACCCCCATGAAACACCAAGGTGGCAGAGAGAGACCATGCGACACAGTTTGACAAAGTACATTATATTTAATTTCATCAAGAAGGTAACCCAATCCTCACTGCAAACTACGCTTTTAAGACATGTGTATTTTTCAGAGGGAGGCCATCGCTATTAGCGTATCCATGGCTATTCATGGCTTTTTGCTTTGATTTATTGAGTTTGGAGAAACTTCAACCTATGGGAATTTTCCTTCGATTTCTGCGGTTCCACAATTTTCACCCAGAGCCTCACGGCGCCTCAGGTGGGTGCAGGCTGTGGCCTACTGGGTATCGCAGTGGCACGTTTGGCGAGGCGAGCGGACGGAGCTGCTCAGCGATCCGCTTCGCAACGAAGTGACTGGCACAGAGGGCCGAAGTGGAAAGACTGCCACAGAGGTGGGATTGGTTTGTCAAAGATTCTCAACATTGGAGGAACATGGATAGTTAAAGCATGTTAAAGCACGGCGTTTCACTTCTTGGACACCACGGCTCCAATTTCACGTTGCGCCTCGGGGAGTTATGCCCTAGACATATGACATATACTGGGATGCGAAAGATGCAGATGGTGTGTCTTTATGAAGGTGGGTTGCAGGATTGCTGTGCCTCTTTTGACAACAAGGAACAAGGACGCTACTAGTAACAAAGGGCATCGCTACTAGGAGCAAGGACTCTACTAGTAGCTCCTGGCATTACTACTAGTAACAAGAAGCAACCAGGAACAAGAAGCTACTAGGGGCTCCTGGCCTTACTACTAGGAGCAAGGACGCTACTAGTAGCTCCTGGCATCGCTACTAGGAACAAGAAGCTACTAGATAAATGTCTAGAGCGTCCGTTCTGGTGGATTTTGGACCTCAGAAGTGTTGAACGGTGCCCAGACCGGACCAAGCGGCCACCAACATGTTCCTCGGTCCGTTGACCGTGCGCTTCCAACTCTGGGCCAGTTCAACCCTCATCACCGACGGAGACGAGGAGGCGTGGAGTCTCGGTTTTCTCACATCTGCGGAATCTGCGGTCTGAGATTTTCGACGGATCTCGACTCCGGGGAAGATGACCGGAAGATGACCAGGTGGTGAGGAATCTCGCGCGGAACATCGACCTCAACCGGCCCGGGACTCCTGGGACGGAGAAACGGGGCATAGCCGCCAGGGAGGCGGCGTTGGAGGGGGTGTAGCGTTGGGGAGCTTGTGGTTGAGCTTCAGGTGGCTCCAATAACCGCATGTAAAGCTTGAGAAAGATTTGGTTTCTTTTCTTTTGAGTGAGTCTTCGGGCCTTGAGAGGACTTTGTTACTGTTAGAGGGTAGCCAAAAGGTAGCCAAAAGCCAACGGAGTGCAGCAAAATGTCCTTGAGGGCCCCTCTTGGCTCACCCCCACTCCTGCTGTGTGGCTCAGATGCGGAAAAAGAGGAGACCAAGGAAAACAAACAATACATAGCAATCTATACATGGTTTTGTTTTGATTACTGAATTATGGTACTGTAATTTGATTATATAAAGCGCAATCAAGCAGCCAACGACACAGCTACCAGGTTTGATCCCGAAAAAGGATTGTGCAAGATTAACTCCATCAAGGCGATAGAAGGGGAACCCTTTGGATTCTTTTAGCACATTAAGGTTGAATGAGCCAAAACCCTCACAGAGTCCTTGGTTTTCCAGAATTCTTCTTCCACCATTTGTGGGTGTCTCTGGAAGAACAGCTCTCGCATCGTCTAACCCAATTGACACACGCACCCCAGCTGAAGCACAAAGTCAAGCCACACATTTCTTTTCAGCGAAAAAAATCCACCCGAAAGATCCCCAAACCATCCCAAACCACTTGACCAACCGAAATACCGACACCTACCAACCCGAAAGGTGAAACGATGTGAACCATGTCATGAACACATGGGACAGTTGCGAGATGTTCGGTTGAGTTGGTTTTAAAAAAGACAACAACGCGTCTATTTTCATCGTTGTTTTCGTCGTTGGTGAACGCTCCGATGTCCGTTTGGTGAGGTCCTTGTGGAGCTCTCAGGGAGAGGATCACCTCACAAACGCCGCTTCGTGGGCAATGGCGCGTGGGAGTGGAATGGGAGGTGTTTACAGATGTTTACAGAGGTTTCAGTCTTCATGGCCCAGGGGCTTTGGTTGTTCTTCTTCTTGGGAGGTTAGACAGTTAGACATCTCCAGGTGGTGTTTTGTTCCCTGGAAGAGGAAGGGGGTTCCATGAGCGAGATTCATGTTCTTGAGGTGTTGGCTTGCACCTGCAGAATCAGGCAGCTGTTCCTGGAGGCTTTGGCTGATGCAGGCAGTCGCCCATTATTTGGATATCCAAGCTCCAGAGAGCCACCTGGAATTGCTTGAGGCTGGTGCCAACACAGACAGCATACCAGGTGGACCAGCAGCTTCCCATGTGGCAGCCAAGGAGAACGATTCGGAAGTTTCAGGGCAGTCGCTTGAGGGTCAGATTCAAAAGTGACGGAAGATCTGAAAATGGAGTTTTGAAAGGAGCGGACATGCAGTCAGGTGCAGGAACTCAGAACTTAGAGGCAGACAGGAGATTCCGGGCACAGGTACGCTCACCAATCTGAACAAGGCGCACATTGCAGGCGGGACGCTGCTTGGGAAAAGCCGTACTTGGCTGGTTGTTCGGGCGCTCTGCATCTGATCCTATCCAGGTGCGATGCCGCAAAAGTATCCCTGTGCAAGTCGCCTGCCAGAGGAGTAGCCATCATGGACACAGCTGAGCGAGTCCATCACAAGTCTCCCATCAGCTCTGGAAAAGCCGGCACAGGTGTGGCCGCAGCATGCTTCTTCCAAGAACTTGGGATCAACTCACACTTAGCTTGTTCATCTAGTTTATAGAATCGGAACAAATCCAATCGAAGGGAGACAAAATGGTCTTTCTCACTGTCAAGATGCCCCTCCTTGCTTACTTGTTTAACACATGGTAATTGTCCCGCCCTCAGTGGGGCCCACTACAAGATGCTCTGAGGCTGAGGCTGAAAGTCCGTTCAAGCCAGTTTCCATGATTCCGCGTTTTTGTTTAAGAACACCGGTAGAAAGTGGATGCCCTAAAGTGTGGTCCATTTACTTCTGACTTCTGACTATATAGCAGCCCTTGGCCCTTAACGCAGAGAACCGGATGACGTTCTCCACCAATGCATTCGCCGCGCTCCTAGGTGGCTTCCCGTGTCTTGCGCTGGGAGGTGGGTGGTCAGGGTGGATTGACAAAGAGAGAAGGCTTCTGGGTTCAAAACACGAAAGCAATCGAATAAAGTTCTTTTGACAAGCCTCTTTGTGCACTCCCAAAAGGCATTCCAAATGGTATGGTGCACCTAGCAACACCCTTCAAGTTGCTACTTGGAGGAGTCCCCCTTACTTACGCCTTCTTGATGTTATAGACTTGTGTGACTCCACGCAGATTGAAATCGCTTCTCCAAATCTTTCTGTCGCTCAACCACCTGAAACACCAGCAGTGAAGTTCTTGCTGAGACAACATTTAAAAGAACACATTCTTGAGCCGCACTCATTTTTGCCTATTCATTGCTTATTGGTACACTGGACTTTTTGGAGTCAAAAGACATGACGTTACCAAAAGTTACTTGGGACTTCCATCAACCGCATTTCGAGTACTTCTCAAACAACTTCTGCGGCTCAGTGGCGGGTGGCATGGGCTTTTGGCACCTCATGTCTCTTGGGAAGCGACGCTACGAACGGGGCTCCTGGCCTCGCTACGAACGGAGCGATCTCACGAGTTCCGCATCGGATCGGTCAGGAGCTCCTGGAAGATCCGTGGCCTCGAGAGGATCACGTCGAGGTGACGCTGGACACGAGGGGCTCGGGACTGATGGCGAGGCCAGGAGCTACAGTAGCTTCTTGTTCCTGGTAGTAGTGGCCTCCAACATCCTCCAACCTAATAGCTTTTTGTTCCTATGGGGTGAAAGCCCGGTGAGGTTCCATGGGACCCACCAGATAAAAGCCTGCCATTCCGAATTGGAGTCCAGGCCTGATCGGGTCCCATGCAGTTTTGGGGGGATACTATTGGATACCCATCCCATTGCATCACAGCCGACCCATTTCATTCCTGATTCTCGATATTCTCGTTGACTGTCATTCCTTAGCAGAGTCTATTAGAAGCCTTAGCAGTGAGTTCTGTTCCTTCGTGAGAACAAGACCATCTTCGTTTATTTGCTGCAAGAGGAATTAGCAGGTTTCAACATGGATCACGGACACCAGAGGTCATCGTTTGCTCCGACGTGATCTACGGCAACTGGGGTGACACCGTGGCCGAGGCGGGTTTTGCCAGTTTCGCCGCAACGTACGGTGAGGTCACAGCTAATCGGCACCATTTCGGGAAAGGACACGAAAGACGCAGCGTGTTGGATGTTCGATGTAGAGTCTTGAGCCACTGTCGAAGGGAGTGTATTTTGCGTACAGTGACATCGGAGTGGAGTCATTGCACATTTTCAGTAGGAAGAGCAGGTGTTGCGGTGATGGACCAGTTTGTCTGCCAGGGGGGGCTTGATTGATCCAAAAACATGAACAAACTCCTGAACTACTTAGCACATTTCGTTGCAGAAACTACAAGCACGAGGCAGTTGCCACGAGAGACCTTACCTTCATCATACTTTCGATTCCCAGAACCGTCGGCTGCGCACGTCCTCAATTCATGCATCCGCACGTCCTCACGCGGAAACCATGAAGAAAGTCCTCGGTCCACACTTCGGAGACGGTCGACCGTTCGGTTCGGAGCTCGGGCGGTTCGGAGACGAATCCATTCCGTGGACGCAGCTCTGTGCTCAGGCGCTCTGCAGTGTGTGACGAGCTCAGGCAGAGCACAGCTCCGGCGGGAGCGCGTCCACATCCAGAGCCCCCGTTGTAGATCTGGTAGAGGAAAGACGCCTTGCTGTGTGTTTTATATAACTCTTTTTGGAAGGATTTTTGTTCGGATTTGCTTTTTGAACAGGAATGAAAGGAGTGAGACAGGAAATCGACGGGATGAGGGAAGGTTTTATCTTTCGAGCTTTCTGCAGATTCTGGGTTTTCTTTGGGGTTCCGAAAGAGGTTGAACAACGAAGTTGCTTCATGTATCTTAATGTTGAAATCCAATGGTGATTGCTTGATCTCTACAAGGGACACAGATTCGGGCCAAGTCTTGCAACTTCTGTTCCACAGATTCTTGGGATGCGCAGCTCACAGCTCCCAACTTCTCTTTCATGCAGAGCTCCCTTGACTAGCTGCCGACACATCTCACGGAAGAGACAGGGAGACCGTCCAAAGGTGGTTTGGCCGTCCGTCCCCAAGAAACCGACGATCCATACGGCCAGTTCAGCTAGTGACCTAGTCGAACCTCCCCTATATTTAGTGGATGTCAGCATCCATAGCTCAAAGTGTCATGGTCATAAGCTCACATCCCTCAAAGTTTCTGCATTCTCTTCCGAAATCCTTGTTCACCCAAAGGATCTGGACCCGAACCAACACACGAAAGGCGATCCGTTCTTCTTTCTCCCAAAAGCTCTGCGAATCCTTGCGGCTTCGACTCCTGGTCTTCATCCTTGCGACTTCTGTACGGATTCTTTCTCGCAGATCTTCAACGATCCGCGAGTCCTTGGAGCGTTTGGTTTCCGGAACTTGGGAACTCCCGCTCCTAAGGCTTGCCCCGGGCGGCTTGGTGGTGCTCGCCGCGTCGGAGGTCTGGCCATCCGGGCCATAGCTTACTCTGCACTACTTACGCTTAGGTCGTTGAAGAGGGGTCAGGTAAATATGCCAGACATGTAGGTGTTCGACTGTAGCCGTTCGTTCCGTTCGTTCCGTTCCCGGAACCTTTGGAGCTGTGGTGAGTCATGGTGAATCTGGGCAGCTGGGAGAGGAACCAGACTTTGATACCAACAGCCCTCAGGCAGACCTTGATAAAGGATTCCTGAGTCAATACAACGAAGATCAACGAAGGTTTGTGAGACTCTTGTGTACTGTAGAACTTACAGTATAACTACTGCCGAAGCACATGGATTTTCCAAGAGAGTTTAGACAGACTTCAGAACCTCCCATAGTACCACTATGTACCACTGACGATCTGCTTCGGGCAGAGGTCATCCGCTCCCTGGAGGCCCCCCAAGACCGGTCTGTCAGCGATCCCACCCCGCTGCCCGGTCTGTGATTTCTCATGTTCGGCCAACCATTCGCGGCCGTACGTTGGTTCTCCATTTTGTGCAGACCAACCGCAGGTTTGGCATTCTGAACTGTTCAGACGCTCAGACAGACAGCAGATACGCAGCATCTCCCAAGATGTAATTTTGCAACCCCAAAACCGCATGGAATACTATTTAACATACTTCAAAGCAATCTCGTAATCTTGTAGCCCTGAGTTCATTATCAGTACAAGTTCCTAAAAGGTGTCAAAACTTATATACATTGTGGACAGCGGCTCTGATCCGATGTCCAGCAAAGCACCTGGCTCATGCTGCGAGTGTGCTCAGCTGTGAGTGGTGAAACCATTGCCTCTTTCGGTGCCAACACGTTTGACAGGGGTGTCTTGTCACTAAAGACTCACTTGGCCAAGCTGATTGGGGTTCCAAGATTCCGGCAGAGATTGTTTCGAGAAGATCAAAGTGAGCTGCAAGACGACGAGGCTCTTTTGATTCCTTCCATCTTGCAACTGCTTGTACTGGATTTCTGCCCTCCTGAAGGTGGGCAGGTCAAAGAGCTGATTTCTGCTTGTGCTGAGAACCGCTGCGACCAAGTGGAGCGATTATTGCAAAGACCCCTCAGTCCAGGAGCCACCGATGAAGATGGGAGGACTGGAGTGCATCTTGCGGCGCAACATGGCCATTGGCAATGCTTAAGTCTTTTGCTTGAGGCTGGCGCAGCGCTGAACACCGAAGACCGCTTTGGTGGGACAACGCTGCATTTGGCTGCGAACAACGGACATGTGAAAGTGGTCCGTCTTTTACTCCAGGCTGGGGCCGACAAAGACAAGGCGACTCATATTGGAACGACAGCTCTGCATTTAGCAGCTGGGAATGGGCATTTAGAAGTCGTGCAGCTCCTGCTTGAGGCTGGAGCTCGAAAAGAGCAGGTGAGCAAGTCCGGGGCGACGGCATTGCACTTGGCAGCTGGTAATGGACACCTAGAGGTTGTGCGTCTGTTGTTTGAGGCCGGCGTTGGTAGAGACAGCGTCACTCTCAAGGCTGGTTCAACAGCTTTGCACTTGGCAGCCGACAATGGCCACCTGGACGTTGTGCAGCTTTTGCTCGAAACTGGAGCCGACACAGACAAAGTCACTTACGTTGGGACGAAAACTGCTTTGCATTTGGCAGCTGGAAATGGCCACCTTGAAGTCGTTCGCATGCTGCTTGAGGCTGGGGCTGACGCGTTCAAGGTGAATAATTCTGGGGCATCGGCTTTACACTTGGCAGCGGCGACCGGCCATGTGGATGTCGTACAGCTGTTGCTTGAAGCTGGTGCAGACGCAGATGAGGTGATGCTCACTGGTGTAACTGCCCTGCATCGAGCAGCGGACAATGGTCACCTCGAAGTTTTTCCGGCAGTTGCTGGACGCTGGTGCTGACACAGACACCGCAAGCAACTCTGGGGGAACAGCTTTGCAATTAGCAGCTGGGAGTGGGCACCTGGAAATCGTTCAACTGTTGCTCGAAGCTGGGACTGATAAAGATTTGGCAAATGCTACTGGGGCGACAGCGTTGCAGCTAGCAGCAGCTTCTGGCCACCTGGACACCGTTCGGGTGTTACTGAAAGCCGGGGCTGACAAAAGCATGGCGAACAATTCCGGAGCAACAGCTTTGCACTTGGCGGCCAAGAAAGACCACACTGATGTGGTGCAACTGTTGATCGAAGCTGATATTCGAAGCTGTACTTCTGAATGAATTCCCCACAGTTCGCTGTCCTTTTCCGCAAGTTTGACATGATTTGTCTGAGAAATGACCACCTCCATGCATGCCGCAGGAACCCATGGTCAGGTTGGCGTCCAGAATCCATTCATGCAGCGCTGAGGGTTCGCACCACAGAGCAGCTGTGAATGTCTGAAGCTGAGGGTTCGCCATGAGATGCAGATGACTCATTCTGAGATGCAGCTCAGAACATCAGCGTCTCGAATTCGAAGCTTGAACATCTGCGTGGAACTGATTTCGAACCCCTTTTTCCAAGACGTGCACACACACACACATGAACCTGGAAGGCCTTGGAAGGTATTTCATGGTATTTCGTCAATCAAGGGCAAGTTTGGACAAGTCTTTGGAAGCTGGTGTGAAATGGCTAAGCTGCAAAGGTGCAATGAGCAATGGTCAACTTGGAATGAGTGGCGCAAGGTCCGCCCTAGGGATGGGCATCAAGTGACGTTCGCTGGACATACCACAAACTCCACACCGAGCCCGTTGGAAACACCGTACATTTCGCGGTGCGAGCATACCGTGGCATCGAATGCTCCGCAGTTGTTGGAGGAGTCCAACAAGTCCCAAACATGTCTCATTTGAGGTCCATCAGTGGTGTGGTAGCTCAATACGAGGGATTCCAATATACATGGCCTTTTTGGATGGGATCGAATTGACTGAGAGTTTCATCGGATTTTTCTTCCGAGTCGGGGTGTAGAAGCCTGGGAAGAGACCAGCAGGGGCCCCATGTCGCCTTGTCCCAGGACCGGCGCGGTGGCGTCAAAGGCTTTCAGGACCGAGAAAGAGCCGGGGGAAGCGACGTCGGGGAAGCGACGTCGAGTGACGCGGGTCACTGCGGTTCCACACGAAGGGTTTCTGGATGTTGGTGTAGAGATTGTAGCGGAGACATTTCAGGCAAAATCTCGGGTACTACCAAGCAGACACCCGATATGGTGCGATCAATGGCTCTCTGGGTGTGATGATCAGAGATGATCAGCAACAATCGACCGAAAGTCACAGCTCAACAGCCCAGGCTCAGTTGCATGGGATCTGAAAACCACGCCACGTACTATAGAGGAAATCAGTTGTCAGCGGTCCAAGGGTTCTTCTTCAGGTCCCACTCTAGCTTCTACGTAGTCCGTGAAGAACCCTGGAGATTCTGTGGATTTGAACACTTGGAGATAATCATACAATCGGTCACAGTCTGAATCTGAAGGACCATCAAGACGCCATAGGGAAGAAAGCCTTTTAACAAAGCCTTGACACCAGCTCGCTGCCGCCTCAACATCGAACCAGCTCGCTCGCTGCCGCCTTCGCAACGAGTGATTCGAGGAGCACATGGAGCAGAAAGGCTTCGGAATCCTCGAAACGAAGCTGAGGCACCAGAGACGCCGTTCCTCCAGAGTTGAAGGGCGCCACCCAGCTGACCCACACTAGTGTTGAAGGGCGAAGGGACGACTTAAGGGTTGAGAGCTCCGAAAACCATTCCCTCAGAAAGGGCATTACCCGTAGTATGCCAGCAATCTCGTCGAAAGGCAGATCATCCTTTGGAAGTTAATGGAGTCGGTGTGTCTCGCGATCTGCACATGTGGATTTGCACCCAAGTTCTTAGCTTGCAGGACTGCGTTGAAGTGGGTGCACGCAGGTCATGCCATGACATGAATGGGTTGCCAGTTGACCATCGAAAACCGCCTGCAAGAGGCTTCGCCCCTTGGGCAATTTCCGCATCTACCATTGCCAAAAAGATCTGAAAACGTTTGGAGCGCCAGAGCTGTGAGACGGGAGTTTCGTTGGACATGTCTTCGACATGTTGGTTCTGGTCATCCGAATCCGTCGTGATCTGGCGTGCGCTCATGGCATCTCTGGTACAGGTAGGGGGGAGATCCACTCAGCTTGGACTTTCCCTGCAGGCAGGTGTGTCAAACCCCGTCAGATTGAGGTATGTTGAGCCATGGTGTACTTATTTGGGCTAGTGAGGCTTTTTTGAGTTTGGGGGTGTTGTCACGTTCCTCATGAATCATTTCTTCCTTTTTCGCAGGAAGGTAAAAACCCGAAGCTCGAGTCTAGCTGAGAGAAGCGCACACGAAAGTTGATCGTTGATAACGTGTAAGTATAGAAGGAAGTACCATCATTTTCATATTGACGCTCTGAGAACTGGAGCCTTGGGATACCATTGCTTTGCGCATTACAAGAACCCAATCATTGCCCACAGCTGTGCATGCAATTGCATGCAATATGGACTAGGCATCCTTGCTTTCTACCTTAAGCACATCCCTAACATCTTGAGGTCCCTTTTGGAGTGCGAAGAGAGCTTGGAGCCTGGCTGCGTCGGGAAGCAGAGGAACCAGACGTCTTTGGGACACCTGTCCGATGTGAGGGCTTTGATGGGAATAAGGACATAGCGATGGCCTCCAACCTACTAGCGATGGCCTCCACCTAGTAGCTTCTTGTTACTAGTAGCTTCCTATGCAAAACATTGCAGCCCAAGTGCACCGCAGAATCTAAACTGAATATTTCGCCTGCATCATGATTTGGCCGATTTGGTATTGACTTCAATCGGGGTAAAGGAAAACGGGCCTCAATTAACGCATCACATGATGCAGGGGGCAGCCAATCCTTGATTCTTGAGGGTAAACCACCATGATCCCATTGCGTGTCAACGGTGTCCCCCACTCGACGTATTCGCCATTTGTCGAAGGTCTCATCAAAGCATGACCCGCTTCTGGATGACGTGCCACCCACGGAGGCCTGGAATCAGAAGTGTTAGAAAGAGCTCTCTCAAGCCTCCAACCTACTAGCGATGGCCTCCAACGTAAGAGCGATGTCCTCCATCCTAATAGCAACTGCATTTGCTTGATATCTAAATATTGATGTCACCTAGGCAAGATCTTCCACAATATTCTTCCAGGATTCGCACTTTATGTATAACCTACAGATGAGTAGGTAGAATCATCAACCTGGAAAGGTATTGATGAGCTACAGTAGTTGCTGCCACTCCCAGAAGCATTGCTCATGTGTGGATGATAGCAGCATGCAGTTTCCCGAAAGTCTTCTGCTTGATGTAAGGACGACTCTCCCGGCTTTTACAGTGGAAGTTCAAGTCTTGCTGGGGTTTTGGACGGATTTCTCCCCTCCATTGAGCATAGTGAACAGGGAAGATCCTTTGTCTGTGGCATGGGGTCAGGGCCGTGTTCAATCAGTATCATCGAGAGCTTTTAGACAATTTATAACATTTTATAAAGTATACCTGGATCTTCCAACTATGAATGCATAATTCTGCCTTTTGGCGGGTTTTGTAGGCGCAAAGGCAGCCATCTTGCGTAGTTGTTGGACGATCCAGGTATAGCTTTCCAAAAGGCCTTAGGCTTTGGATCTCCCTGCCCCTTTGCAAAGCACCTTCTGAAACCGTGTGGCCGTGTGGACTGAAGACGTGACCAGGCGAAGACTTCACCTCCGCAGACACGTTCCAAGGCGGACCTGTGGCGGCTTACAGATGGTCCCAGTCTGGAGCAATGGAGCAACATGAGTAGATGAATGTGCTGGCAACAGATGGTTTCAGCCGTCTCTCCTGGGTCCAAGTTGGTTTTGTGTCACTGCAACGAAAGATTTGGCCACACTCTCCTGTTCGACCGCCAGTTGTGGGACTGGGCAAGGGGCAAAAGGGGACCATTGGATGACTTGAATGCTACAACTTCTGTGTGCGACACTGCTCCTTATCGCTGAGTTGTGACACCGAACCGGACCCATTTCGTGACCACTTCTGTGCTGATTGCGTGGCCCTGATGGGTCTGACGAATCTTTCCCCAGACGTTCCTTCCGAAACGGAAGGAACATGAAAGAACCCAAGAGAAACTGGCGCACGCCACTGCTGCAGCTCCCGTGTTCATCAGTCAAACAAGGCAGAGAAGGGAGGATCCTGCTTCGTTGGAAAACACATGCACATGGGTGTCTCTTGACAGTTTCAAGTGATTTTGAATCCTGAAGACGGCGGTGCTTCACTAATAGTTTTGGGCAATGCAGAAACCGTACTCTCTGGTACTCTCCTCGCCAGACTTGGCGCGTGGTGGGAGGTGCGGAAGCTTTGCCGATCGTTGTGATCCGGAGTGTGAAAGGTTTGTTTGAAGACTAAAGGGCCCCTGGATATGTCTCCTCATTTTGAGAGAGGCCCAGATCGTACGGTAGGTTGCATCAAAAGAGGAAGTAAAAGAGGAGTTCTTCTCTTGCCTACTCACTACTGCAAGCCAGTTCAATGATGAGAAAGGCGGCAAACTTGGCCACATCCCAACAGAGTTTTAACCGAATGACCAGCTTGCACATCATCCAATGTGACGACCCCACCCAATTGATGCAGATGGTCATCAGACATGTGGGAGCATTTCTGTTGTGTAACTCGTCTTATGTGGGAGGTCAGAGGACAGCGGAATGGGGGACATGACACTCTTGAAATGAATCCAACATCATCCAAAATCCTTCTTGGATGACAGTCCTAATGCTCATGTCACTGTGCTACGTGCATGTTACAACATGCTTCTTGGAGATGGTCAACAACCCAGCAAAGAACCATGAAAGAATGACCAAGCCTAGATCCCAACAGCCTCCAAAGTCGATACTTTGCCACTTCAAGGTCAAAGGCACGGAGGCATCATCGCGGGAGGCCCCAGTGGCAGCTGCTTCACAGTAATCGAGTTATTTCTTTCACCATGTCAGGGTTCCTGACATCGGGGTGTGACTGTAGCTGGCCCCATCCATGGCCAGAATTCCACTGTAGCTGACCCCATGCCGTGCCAACACGGTGGCCCAGGTCCGCCGCGCCTCCATCGGCGTGGCGAAGGAGGACTACCAGGGACGACTGAAGCACGGCCGCGCGGAGCAAGTGCGAACGAGTAAGGATGAACCCCGTAGCGAACGTTCGTAGCGATGCACTTTGTTCTGTTCGTAGCTTCTTGTTCCAAGTAGTAAGGCCAGCTACGTTCGTAGCGTCCTTGCTAGATGGCGAAGCTGAACGGGAGGATGAACACGGAAAGGTCCTATGGTCAAGGTCAGCAGACCATGAGGTTCCCATCAGTATAGCACAATGACGCCTGGTTATTATGAGGGGTGTCGTACAGGACATCTCAAGGGCGGCTGGGATTCTTTTCTTCTTTTTGTTTGAGTCTTGCGAATGTGGAGGTTGACACCCTGTGTTTGGCCATGTCGAGAAGCGTTCGATTTGGGTCTTTGGACAGGGAGATTCGTCAAGGGATATATATAATGGAAGAAATCGCCCAGCTGAAACGATTGGACTTTCTTTGGTAAACCAACACTGGCCATTGAGCAAGGGAAACCGCTTCATTGAGCAAGTTGCTTGGCCTAGGTGCGCTCGTGCAAGAGCTTCAAAGAACCAAAGACAGGCCACTCTAGTTGCGCCTGCAGTACAGTTTGGCCCGTGGATCAACACTGAATCCTGCAGGATGTGTTCCATCAGCTTTGAATATTTATTTACTTGTCTGACAATAGTCCACCTTCAACCATGGAGTTTGTAACCTGCTCAACCACTGAGTTTGTAGCCCCGCTGAGATTCTTTTGTCGGATTTGACCTGCCACAGCATTTGGAAGCTGGTGAGGAACTTTCCTACTGCGATGTTGATGGGAATCTGGATCTTTGCGCATTCGAGAGAAGACCTGGTTTCATCCGAGAGTGGTAAAACACCATCAAGACCTGGCATCACAACACATTCATGTACAGCTTAACTTGACATCTGCATCTGCACACAGCTTGACAGGTTGATCACCTCCAGAGATCTGAATCTTGGGAAGTGGGCGATAGGTCGATCAGTTTCTCTGCCTGGCAGGCTTCTCTACCGCAAGTTGGAAGGCACAGGACCCTCTGAAGGCGAATCTGAAACAGGGACTGGGCCGGTCCGGGTGTTCACTGCTGCCTGTGGAGCTGATCTCGACATCGATTCTCCAGCCCGGCATGACGAATCCCCGATCCACCATCTTCCAGCCAAGCAGACGAATCCACCGTATTATTCCTTGTGATCACCCAACGAGCTAGATGGTTTCGCTTGTCTCAGATGAGCTGCTAGAAATATGTGGGAATGGCAATAGGCATGGCAAATCAGCTTAGACAAGTGACAAGCATGTGCTTGAGGGTTCTATCATTTCTACAAAGCACTGCCACATAGACATAACAAGTGAATCAGACATAGAAAGGTGGCTTGGTGACTTGACACTGACATTGTATATAGCGCTTGATTTTCCATGGATTCATTCGTGTAAGCACAATGTCAACCTGTCCAAGAGCTGTGGGTCTTCAGCTAGCTGCTACATCACTACATGTGTTGCGGATCATTCTCCGTACTCACAGTGATACAACACCGGCTGCATGGGAAGGTAGGCGTTGAACGAAGCTTCCCTAGAGCCGAAGAGAGTGATTCTACTATTTTGGAAGCCACTGGACAATTGTTGGTCAAGAATTCATGTACCTTGTTCATCCTTGTGCTGCAGTTTGTTAGTTCTTTTGCTTCGCTTCTTCTTTTTTCTGCTTGCTGCACCAGTGCAGCTGCTATCGTCGTTTCAAAAACCGAGCCTCTGCGAGCGACAGGATGGGTGAGCTTCGTGTCAGCCAAAGGAGCTGTATTGATTCGAAGGGAAGAACAGAAAAAGAGCTGAGATTTACTTTGTTTAGTACATGAAGTAACAGTATATGTATAGATCAAGGTGTGTCTGATGAAGTAACGAAAACTCCCCAAACAACTCTCATATATTGAGCAGCTAGGGCAACCAACTATCAACGATCAGTTCAAGGAGCTGATGACCCCAGTGACTGGGGCCAACGTGAGCATCCTCCGGCTCCGCCGGTCTCAGCGCAAAAACCCGGGGAGGTCTTTGCTCGATTCAGCAACCATGACCGATGTGGTGCTCCAATACCCATATAGGGCACTGAGCCAGACATATTAGGAGGGAGTCTGGTCTATTGAAGAAGTTGGGGTGTGCATGTCATAGATTCCTGGCAAGCATGGATGAAACGTTTTGGTGCGTGTGACTCTGGCTCTGCTTTACTTTAGGACATAATCTGCTCGGTCAAAATTCAGCCGACCTTACCCAACTGCACAACAGGAACTGACAGACGGAAAAGGCTCTTTCGTAGCCTTGCAGGTTGGTGAAACACTCTCTATCTTACAAAAGTCAACCACTCCCACAAACAGAACTAAGCCCTGGCGTTCATCTCCTGAGGTTCGTGATTGTTAAGTGAAGATCGAAGATCAATGTAGTTGAGCCAGACAATACGTAAGTCATTTCACTTGCATCGCTCCAATGCTGCATGTCTCCTCAGCCGTCTCCGGCGAACGAGTCGCGAGCTTCCACACAGACGAGCTGGAAGGCCAATCGGTGAAATCGGTCAAAATCCACCTGGCCAAGCAGATTGGGGTCTCCAGATTCCGACAGAGATGCTTCAGTGGGTCAGTAGGCCATGAGTTGCATGACGATGCAAGACTTGATGACGATGAGCTGCAGCTGGTGGTTTTGGCTTTCAAGCCACCAGAGGATGAGCAAGATCAGAGGCTGATTTCTGCATGTGTTTGGAATCGCTGGGAGGAGGTTGAAGTGCTCCTCCAGCAGCCATTGGCTCCGGATACCACGGACGCATTTGGACGGACAGCGTTACATGCTGCTGCAAGCAATGGCCATTGGCGATGCTTGAGCTTGTTGCTTGAAGCCAAGGCGGCACAGGACAAGGAACAGCCTCAGGGGTTAACAGCTTTATATTTGGCAGCCCAAAATGGGCACCTGGAAGTTGTACGGGTCTTGCTGAAGGCTGGAGCTGACAAGGAGAAGGTCATGCCAAAAGGGATGACAGCTTTGCATGCTGCAGCTCTGAATGGACATGCTGAGGTTGCGATGCTATTGCTTCAGGGTACTGCAACCCAGGCTGTCTCTCAACGGGAGGCCACAGACTTTGGGTCCACAGCTCTACATGTTGCCGCGATGGAAGGGCACCCAGAAGTGGTGCAGCTCCTGCTGGAAGCTGGCTTTCAAGATGTCGCTCGAGAAGGGAGAACAGCCTTACATTGGGCCTCTGGCAGAGGTCACCTGGAGGTTGTGCGGCTGTTGTTGGAGGCTAAAGCTCAGAAAGATCATGTAGATCTGAGAGATGGGGTGACTGCTTTGGATGTGTCACTTCAGAAGGGCCACTGGGAAGTCGTGCAGCTCTTGCTGCAGGCTGGCGCAAGAAAGGCTCAGAGTTTGATCCAGCGAATGGAGATCCAGTGAGTGGAAACCATGTGGGGAAAGGTTCCGCAATGTAGATCATCCTATAGTACCTTGCTGTATTGACTGTAAAACATGCAAGAATTGTTTAAGTCTTTAGTCTTAGTATGGGGTGCATGCTCCGCCCAAATCTGTTTTCACTCCTGCTCCACCTCGCCTTCGCCTCGGGACCAAAGCTGGTCTGGTCATGTTGCAAAGCTTCCCAGCTTTGGTTGAGACCCTTTTCCATTCAAAACTGGTATTTGTGGTGGGCTTTTAGGTTCTTAGGTTTCTTTGACGCCAGTAGGGCTGAGACACCCTTGCTGACGTGACTCAAGCTCTCCGAAGGACCCAGTGTTTGCAATGCTCCAACCACAACCACATCGTGCAACATCCCGTCAGGAATGTTTTGCAGGTGCTTGCCAGATTGATCAGATTGGATTTCCAGATTTTTGCGGACTGCGATGGTTTCTCAAAGCCACAAAGATGACCTGAGACAAAGCAGTCTTCACGGAGCGGAGTATCGATGACTTCTTGCCGGGGACAGCGTTCCAACCCTCTGGTGTATGTTAGAATGTTAGATGAGTTTCTCTATTTCAATTGTTGAAGAGTGACTTTTGAGACACACATTTCCTGGACACTAGAGCATGCAAACAGCCAAGCATGTGACGAGGCTTCTCAACTTCGTTTACCCTGGTGATCCCTAGTGCACATCATCGCGCTTGACAAACCACTTGAGCCACTTGAGTCAAAGTATGTTCTTCCGCAAAGGGTGCAGAAACGCCTCACGGACCCATGCCGCTTGCTTTGCGCCTCTTTCTGGCATGGCTGTCTCTTGTGGACTCGGCGTTCGAAGACTTGGGCTTTGGGCCACCTGGCAGACACCTGCGGACATTCGCAGACACCTGGTCATCCCTGCAAGGTCCGCCGGTACGATTGGTATTTGATGGTATTTGCATTCCGCAGAACACGGGTGACTTTCTCTGCTATCTTCTTTTCAGTGGTCCACCAGTTTCTTCTCAGAAAGGGCCCTGTAGGTAGCAGAATACTGGCTGGAATTTCATCCTTCCACCTAGGTACTGTATGAGCGAGCAGCGCCTTGGCATGCACTACATTTACTGGGATTTGACCAGGATGGCAGCACGCAGATCCGGTTCCCAGTATGTTTTTGCAGTTGATCTGAAGAACAACAACACCAAGGAAACCTACAAGCAGAAACACTAACTCACCCTACTCGCTGTGCAATCCACTCACCTCCCCACAACGTGTGAATCAGGTTTTGTAGCATTCCTGGGGTCTTTTGGTCCTGTCGTCTCGACGTTGCTTTGGTTCCAGTTCGTTGCTGTCTGCGGTCCCGACGCCTTTCAGAATCATTTCGAAGTGAATCTCAACGAAGTGTACTTTGAGCATTGCTTGCTCTGAGCGCTGCACCCTCCCCCCGATGCAGCTTTTTTGAAGCCAAACCAGGCACAACCAAGCCACCGAAGCCAAACCAATGCCAAAGGTCAAAGATTGCTCCTTTGCCGAGACCAAAGCTGAGCCCACCAAATCAGCCGATTCCGTTGGCTTTGGTACGTAAGGTGGCGAGCTCCTAGCTGGTGCTAGCTGTTTGCTTTTTGGTACGGAGGGTATTGGACAACAATTATGAACAATTGATTTTAAACGGTGCTAATAGGATTTACAGCAATAGAAAGCGGTTGCAAGCAGAGAATTTGGCATTGCTTCTGGTTTTGAGATACGAAGGGCAAGCTTTTGCGGGCAAAAAGTAAGTTTAACCCTTGAGCATGATGGCGTGATTGTTTTCCAAAGCCCATGATGATAGATTTCACAGACAAAAACAACTGGAGGACCTGAGGACCATAAAGAAAGATACCGCCTATATATAGTATTTTACTTTTTGTGTTTGTTTTTTCCATATTATAACCTAATAGATAGATAGATAGATAGATAGATAGATATATATATATATGTGTATATAGTTATAGTATTTTTATGTATGTGCATTATGTCTCTGCATGTCTATGCGGGAACCCTGAAACACCCTGCAAAAAAGGATCTGTGTGTGCGAAAAGCCGTAACACGAGATGGGAACACGCACACACATACCTCCCCAACCAACCAGCCGTGACCCCGTTTGCGAGGAACAAGCAATATGAACGCTACAAAGCAGCCCCCGGCGAGATGGGTTATGCTGGGACGCTGGAGGAGTGTGAGAACCGCTCACTTGCAGAGCCCCAGAGCCCAGGCTTTGCATTTTCCACCAGTAATGACTGCATAGAGCCTCGGTTGATCGTTGAGTGGGATGTCACCCGTGGGGGTGGTGTCAGGTGCCGACTCTGGGAGTGTGGCTCATCCGATGTCCCGGTGGCGAGGGCAACGGGCACCGAAGGGTCTGCTTGGCTGAGCTGTGAAGAGGGCTGATGAGGAACGGAGAAAATGTCTCATGCAGCTTTCATCAAGTCTTGTAGATTGTAGATTAGCCAGTCATGTTTGTTCATCGAACACAAACTATCCCAGGTCATTGTATACTGGAGTCATCTGAAATCAAGTGCAGTTTGCTTTCGATTGTGGTGGGTTGCCAGCGTTGCACGTTGGACATCTTCAGAGTGTTGCACTTGCCATGCATTCACAATTGTGATTTGCGTTGATGGAGGTGTTATCAGCCACCCTGGTAGGAATGGACAAGACAACATCACGACACTTACATTTGCAATATCTTTACTCCTCACAAGGCATGTTTGCTCAGCGCTTGAACGCGTTTCCCAACTGAGTGGTATCAAAAAAACTTCTCCACACCCACTTGTCCATGCTTTGTTTCTTTGAGCGTGGGATCCTGTCATTGCAATGTGCATCCTGATGAGCCCCGATTAGCCAAGGTCTACATGAACCAGGGGCAATCACCCTCCAGTTTCCAGGCGCTGTGCTGCTTCAACCTATTCGGACTGCAAACAGCAGACTTCAACCGATTTTGGTTTCTCTTGAATGCATTTTCCGCCCGCCACCATGCTGGATTCTATTGGATTCTGCTCATCTCCCCCCCGCCGCTGCCACCGCTGGTCACTGTTGGCTTGGCTTAGCAGAGCTTGGCTCAACTTCTTTGGACAGAAGACCGAAAGGACACGGTTTGTTCACACGCAGGTCCCAATCACGGGCATTGTCACCAACAACTTCTTCGGCACCGGCGAGGTGAAGCAGGCGAGTGTTGGCCCAACTTCGGGGACTGGTGGAGGGAGACGTTCGAGGAATTCGCCACATGCCAGGGTCAAAGAATCAACCAAACATGCAGAATTCGGAAGAATTGTGAATGATTGGTGTTTGGTTTTACATATTTTTCATGTTTCGTCACACAGTCACGTGGTCAGCGCTGTTGTTTTGCTTGAGGGTCTGCAGGTTCCATGTGTGAGGGAGCAATTGCTGGCAATTTGTTCATTTGGAGATGACCAATGGAAGGAGCCAAGAAATGGCTGCTGGAACTTCTTTCTGAATATATTGGTTGAGCATCTATGAACCGCCCGGTCCGAACACTCTTCCCAAAGAGATAAGGACCCGGGGACATGCCTTCCAAGGCACAGTCCATGGGGGGATTCCCTCTCAAGCTGCTCAGATTCTGTTCCTTCACTAGTTGTAGACTCTTGATAAACAAAACTCCCCATTTGTAAAATTTCTTCGCATGGGACGAGCACTTGCGGGCATTTCCATCCCATTAGTGTCCCTTTGTGTCTTGCTTGGTAACAACAGTGAGGCCTCCGGACACACCGACATGACCTGCTACAAGAAGCTGCCAACTACAACGACCAGCACCAGTACTGAGTCGACAACCCCAGGATCCACCACGACCTCAAGAAGCACAACATCTACCACCGCCACCACCACCCAAGGCTGGCGTGAGGGGAGACCAGTTCGGAACTCGCCTGGCGGATGAATCGCCTGGTTGAGGGGATGAATCGGTGGGATCAGGGTGCGGTAAGCGCTACCAGTGGGTGATCATCTACCTTTGCTTCTGCCGTCGTTTCTCACGAGAGAGACACGAGGTAGAGACAAGATCTTACCACCTCAATGACGAATGGGTGCCTGCTACTGCATGCCTACCAAGAAGAACAACTTCTGCATGTTCGTATCTCTTGAGGAACATCTCGGAGCTCGATCCTGAAGAATTCTGAGCTCGGCACCATCGGACATGGGGGGGGGACTACCCAACGTTCCTGGCTAAGCCTAGATACATACTGGACTTGGTGGTTTTCCTGATTCCTTCCAATGGTAGTCCATGTATGATTGATGCCATAGTAGCAGGCATGTGTCTTGTTCAACATTCCTGTTCTCCGACTCACCGTGCTTTCTTCTTCTTCTTCTGACTCCCAACCTTTGCCCTTTCTCCGATGTCTAGGAGCCACCTCCGACAGATACAGCACCCAATCGGATTCCTTCTGCTCGAACGCGCTGGATCCGACGGACCCTTCGATGCCGGGCTCCACATCGGGATCCGCCACAGTCGGGATCGGCTCCGGAACGGTTTTTGAGCACCCACTGTTGCACTTGAAGCAGAAATCGGAAGGGAGTTGAGAGAGGTAGGTACATACCTTGAGCCGCAGACAGTTGGGAGAGGTTGTGATATGTCAGAGATTGAAGATGGGTGGTTTGGTCAATTAATTGGTTACAAATGGGTCGCACTTCATCTTGGTAGCTATTCAGGCATTTTCTATAGTTCAATTCTATAGTACATAAAAACATATAATATATAATATAGGTATCCAAGTTCCACTCATCATATCCCACAAGTGACACGACATCGACCGGAGTCGGGTCGGAACAGGTTTCATGTCTTGCTTTTGGGTGTTGGCTGTTTGCTGTATTCTACTACCTAAGCCCCACTGTACCCCAGTTGAAAGACTGGAAGGGACTCGAAGGGACTGGAAGGGTTATGGGGTGCGACTTGTTGACAGCAAGCTGAGGGATCCTGGTGAGTGCTTGTGCGGGTATCCTACCATGTGGACGTACAGGTACCATATCTCTACATGGAAGCCCTCGAACAAACAATTCAAGCATTTGCAAACTTATGCAATATGAATTGGGACATGTTCATTTGCAATATCGAAAGCAGCCTCATCAGACAACCCTACCATCACTACTGGTAGAGATAGGACATGAAGACACACAAAAGTACACAGATCAGCACACTGAGGATCATGCAGAGATTTCCGTCCGTGGAGCAATGCTGGGACTTCTGCGGACAGCAAGCAACCTGCGTCGCCTGCTTCCAGCCCTGCACCGATGGGACCCAAGGCCTGGGAAATTGAAAGATGTGGGGCACAACAAGAAATCTCCAGTTTTTTTAGACATGAACAGGGACAGTGTAATTATCTATATACTACTCATCTCCAAGCCATGAAACAGTCGAAATATGACAGTTTTCCTTAGACTGGAACCGTCCTATGTACATTCCCCGAACAAAGCTGATGGAAGCGAAGGATTGATATCCTTGGTATTCTTTAGTTTCTTGGTGAAGCACACTGTGACCGCCATATTGTGCAAACTCTCAGGACGAGTCCCTTTGTTCACCATACATATGGCCAGCCCACTGTTGCGATCCCACTGACAGCGGGATTCGCAAGATGTTGGAGACGGATTGGCGCGGGGCATCGCAACCAACGCGCTGAGTTGGTGGTTCAAAGGGATGGTAGACACCTCTCAATGTATTGGCAACATGGACTTTTCCTGATCCATTTTATATACCTCATGGTTGAGTTTATGTGTTCGCACGCACTTTTTCGCACGCTCTTTTGTTTACCCCTATTTACCTCACTTGTGTCCGATAGTGTCTCCACCCAGTCCATACTCCGGCGAAGGTGCTAAGGCTTAGGCTTAGGTCCTAGGTTGGATGACACTAGCTCGGTTCAACACCTTCAGACTCCTCCCAGAGACCGCTTTGCACGCCTTCCAGTCCAGGCGGCTGCGCCAGCCCTGCAAGTGTCTCGTAGATAGTTTTTGGGTGGGAGGATTGGTGGGATTTTCCGATGTTGATGGTCCTATTGGATGGACATGGAGACGTGACCAATGGCACTTCGGTGTCCTCTTAGGACCAATCATTCAAGTCAAGTCATGATGGGAATATATGGGAATGGTTTCGCCAAGGATCTGAGCCGGACAGGATCATTGAGTCTTCTCTTTGCACTTCTCACATGTAGTGTAGTTTGTGAATTGGTGTATAAGATGGTCGTCAGTCTTGAGCGAACGAGCTCAAACAACGGACAGCGGTCAGCATGGAACAGGGACTCATGATGCATGATGACCGATATGATACAAGGCAAATTGTCTCAATCGTAGACTCGTAAACCCAAATATTAACATATTGAGTATGTAATATCGTTATATCCAGGGTTGCAGCATCGTTGCTTATTCTATGGCTTCAGTTGTTTTGTTTGCAGTGGGGTGCGTGGGGCGTGGAGAGCAGAACAAGTGTTGAGGACTGAGGGCCCGGGGCAGTGGGTGGACAGATGTACGGATAGTGTGTTTTTTGATCAGGGCATTTATGAGCACTTCCACAGAGGAAACAGAGCTTCGACTATGCAGGCCACTAGCTAGCCTACTTATATAACAAGGCCCAACTACGCTGGAACCATTTCAGGTCGTATGAAGCAGCGTATACCGCCATGATCGAGATTCCCAAGCAGTGCCAACAGCCAAGCTGCACCAGGCTTTCTGAGAGACCCTGCGATAGCCTGATATTCTGGCCGCTGCGAAGGTTTATGCGTGCATGCAGGTTGAAGGCTCCTCAGGTGAGGCTTGTGTTGCCCTCTTCCGTGCAGCACTTGAAGGGCCTTTTCCGCTTTCACTTGTCTGCTTTTCTGCGCCGTGGAGTTGCGGGGACAGTTCCGAGAACAACAAGCGCACCACAGAAGCAAGCAGGCCAGTGAGGCCAGGCCAGTTGTTTAAGTGAGCCAACTTCTTCAAGGACTCTAAACTAATCGAGCGAAAGGAAGTGACTTTTCTGCTGAGGTGGTTACGAGGAGAGTGTTGGTTGCCTCGAAGCCTCCAACCAACCAACCAACCAAAAAAGGAAACAGCTAGTTGGGCCAACTGCAATGGCAGACAGTTAGCGCAGAGTCGTTGCTAGAGACTTGGTCATGTGTTGTAGCCCAGGCACTATTTAGAACGTCAGGTCGATCAGATAACAAACTGAGTTGGGCCAAGCTGCGATGGCAGGGGTATCTGCAATGGCAGCTGAATGTTGCTATTCGGGTTGCTATTCAGGCTGCGAGTGGTTAGTGAGCATTGCCCTGTTAGTCACCTAGCGACGAGTCTTTTTTTGGAAACCATGGTGCATGGCCTGGTATTGGGTGGTGAACAACGGATACCTCCAGACTGAACGATCCGTGGTTCGGAGAGGACACTCCGTTCGAGGGGTGTAGCTGCAACTGACTGGCCTTTGTGCTGCAATTGACTGGCCTTTTGTTTTTTTGAATGATCACAAAATGTCCTCACATCTACAATCTGTACTCAGCTCGTCCCTGGAGTCAAAAAATGTTGGAGTGGGTGACATTTTTTGGAGATACCAACATTCAGCCACTAGCCAGTTCATCTGCCTGATCGGTGCAATTGGGGTAACTTCAAGCACATTGCACTCATACCTACCAAAACCATCGACTTGGCAGCTGATGCGCCCTTTTAACCCAATGCAGAAACACACATCCTCAGGTTTTGTTCCGATTTTGTTCCGTCTTCCCCAACACATACACAGGTTCTTTCTTCAGATGTCATCTACAACCTGAGGCTGCGATTTCATTGCGGTGTCACTCTGCTCCACACGCGTCTCTGCTGGCTGCGGTGCACTGATCTGGAGCGCCTCGACGGGTGGAGGCGACTGCCGCTGGCAGATGGCGTGTCGATCTGATGTGGAAACAACGTTACCAACACCCTCCTAAGTAGGTAGGAGTCTGGTATGGACACGAACATGAACGGAAAACAAATCAGACATATGTTAAAGCTGCAAGTGAATGAGGAGGGGGTTGGAACAAATGCACGGCTCGGGCACAATAGTCCCTGTTTCTATTTCCAATCCCGTTTGATATTCCAAGCTGCTTCCTGTGCCATGGTTGCTTTCCATTGGTTTCAATCGCCTGACCCAGCAGTCCCCTTTCATCACTCATGTGGACGCGTCGTTGGCGGTCTCAGTCTCAAGGGAACTCCAGAAACCATATATCTATATATCTATATATGTATATTGTGTAACTATATACTCTTCAATGCCTCCTGAAAAGGGGTGCAGAACGAGAGCTGAATGCTTCCTCAAGGCAACAATTTCGGACGCTATAGTTTGAGACTGAACAATCAACCATGTCGAAGGGGTGCGGTAAGACCTTTCGATTTTGTTCATTCATGTTCTTTCAATCAAGAGTTGTCGGTTTTGGTCCGATCATCCCATCATCTGAAAAGAAGACAACCAACCAGGGCCTTATTTTTTTGGTGGGAAGCTGGAAGCTGGTACCTTTCTTCTGATGTGATTCGTGTCCGTGCTTGGTCCACAATCGCCAAAGCCTTTCTCTTCTCGCGCCGGGTCCTCGACCAAGGAAAACTCGCGACCTCCGGGGATTCGATGCTGGCGCTACGAATTGTGCTGATCATCCTGGGAGTGATCGTTTTGCTAGGCAGTTGGGAGCGTAGAAGGAAGCGTGGTGAACAGCTGAGAGTTGGAATGCTTTGCGTCGCAACCAATGCCTGCGAACATGAGTCGCTTGGTTGTTCATCAGGTCGCTACATAAAATCATAGATAGAGTGGGCCAAGGGTTATAGACTTCCGTTGTGACATTATGAGCATATTCATCAAAGTCATCAAAACCACACGGCATTGAGGAATACAGGTATTCAATATCGAGGCTATGGTCAGGGAATCACATAAGTTTTGAAGAAACAGGCGGACATCCACAATATTAAACGATACCCCAGGCAAAAACGGGAAAAAGGATGCCTAGACAGTGCTCAATGGACGAGTCAGTAAAGGTGCGTGCAGGTTTGGTTGGGATAGAAAGCAAGAATCCTGTGTTGTAGGTGGACTGTTATTTGTGATGATGTATTAGTATGAGGGTTGTTTGTTTCCGTGTCACCTTGAGATAGTGTTTGGATTGCAAGACCCAATTTTGGGAAAAGTACAACCCCTGCAAAACAATTGTTGTAAGGGTTTGCTTGGACAGTAGATCAATTCACACACCTTCACCAGCTTTCTCACAAGCTCCGTACATGATGCCTGGATGTGCTTTCTCTCCCAGACCTGGTTGGAGTGGTAGCAGCAATCTCCAAGTAGAGACCAGCCCATGTGATACGTCTCAGTCGGTGAGTCTGCATCAGGCCTTATTGGTGCGTACTGCCGCTCGGTCTGTTTTGATGAACGGACTTCAGAGCAACACAACCGTTAAATCAATACCAACATGTGACATGTACATCAGGTGCATATTTCACATGAAAGAGCTGACATCACCATTCAGTTCGAATCATCTTTGGTCAGCGCCAACCTAGTCAGTAGTGCCATCGAAGTATTTCCATACGACATTGACACATCCAAAAAGGGGGGGACCTGGTAGGGCCAGGAACCTGCAGACTTTCTGGGAATGTCTCCAGAGTTGACTCCTCCCACCGAACTCTCTCGCGCGTTCCCAAGGTTGGTGGCGGCGCCGACAACGGCGCACGGCGACGGGCACGGCACCGCTGACCTCTTCGAAAGAGACGCGAGTGACGCCGCATGGCAGACGCGCAGGGATGTCACGTGGCATGGTGGGATTGTTGATGTTTCACAGGGTACTCTTGAATGATTTTCCTTTGGCAGAGAAATGTAGGGAATATTGCGTTAGGCCTAGAGTTGCGCATGACCAGGTTGGGCAGGGTTCCACCGTGCCGAGGAAGCCAGATCCAGCCACTGTGGGCGCTAGTTCTCCCAGCAAGGCGCGCACGGGGGGGCACCACCAGGGCCTTGGTCGGTGGCTGAACATTCCATGGATGGGACTCTGGAGCTAATCATGGAACCGCTGGTTGACTCACCTGCAGTAGGTCAGGCTGGGTGGAGCTTTCAACCACACTGCTTTGGAGGAAGACCGTAGGGAGCTCCCGCCCCGATAGGAAACACATGGAAACACGAAGTCGAAGCTCACAATCCAAGACCGTAGGCCTAGGGACCCACCGCTCTGGGCTGGCTTTCCTACGAAGGGGCTGGATGCAGGCACCAAAGACGATCTCCGCGCAGAACGAGGAGGGCGAAGCGATGTCTGAGGCCTTTCGCAAGACGATCCCCACGTACTGGGGCACCTGAGTGCAGAGAGTGGTTTGGGGACGAAGGGGGGTGATTGGATGTGATTGGTGATGGCCTGCGGATTTGTGGCACATTGGATGTTGGGTGTGGAGGTTGCTGAAGGTTGTTTTGATTGGAAGTAGGTTTTTGGGCTGAACAGATAGTAAGTATAGAGCTACTGTATAGTGCTCGCAAGTTGTGCTTAACCGGCAAAGAATCACAGTGTACGATGATTCTACAACGATATATCACCAATTTGCAGGGATCTCCGTGAGTGTTCATCCACTGGTCTTTCTAATTAAAGGGGAGAACAAAAGGTTGGGAATACAGGCCAATTGTCATCACTCAAGCCCTAGTAAGATGCACCCCTGCCGTGCTAGATGAACCCGCAGGACGGGCCTGGCGCAGAGCATTTGAGGGCTCTCACCTCCGGAAGAAGCGTCGCACTGTAGGATCTGTCGGGCCCTTCACTTAGGATCTGTAGCTGAAACACACGAAACTGTAGTCCCAGAGAGACCCAAAGGTCCATCTGTGGCAGGTTGCCTACCACCCGGCACTGTCCTGGGACGCCCACAGACGGAACATCTTGATCCTGGCACACCCGAGGACACAGCTCGGAGAGCACCGACTTCAACGCCATGTTATATGTCACTGAGGAGAAACACAAGATCTTCGAGCAACTGCTTGGGGAGACCTACAAAGCGCGGACCACACAAGACAGGCGAGGGCTGGTGGGCTGGATGGCGCGGAGGTGGATGGTGCGGAGAGCCCTGAGTCGTTGATTACATCCTGCAGTTCATGAGAGACTGAGCGAAGATGCTGCCCCAAAGAGGTGGTAAAATCGCGGCCTCACACAGCACAGTCTTTTTCGTGGTACCACGAGAGGCTTTTGTCCGGGCCTTTGCAGACGTTCAAGATACGAAGTTCGCCCTGGTCAGGTCTTGTCTTATTAATGTACTTTTTAGAACTGTTTTGGGTTCAAGTGTGAGAACCAGCCGAGTAATTGAATTTGGTTTCCGCTGTACGCCTCAGTGATTATTGCTCTGACTGCTACAGCACCCTCAAAGACTTGCTAAGAGCAAAGGCAAAGCCCTTTCAAGTGCTATGCTGATCCAGTGGTATAGGCCATCAGTCTCTAAGTGTACCTTCATGCTGTCAAGCCTCCAAATACCTACCTCTTGGCAACAGCAGATTATTACAAAGAGAAGTTGGTTCAATTGGCAAGATTGCAAGATCCCGCGGTTGTTGGAACGAAGAAGCCACACTATTTCACACCTAATCACACCTACCTACGCCTATGCCTATGCCTACTTTTGTCCACCCTGGCCCACCTCTTTCTAGGCCATGCCCCAATGGCACCTGCGTCAAGACCCCTGGTGGATGTGCCTGCGTTCAACCGGAGGGCGACCCAGGCCGCACTGGCGAAGATTGGGGATGAGGGACCGGATGGTCCGACTTGTAATGAAAGACAGAACGGTCCGAGGGTGCCAAAGTTGTTCAAAAGCACGTATTTTTGAAGATTAATGATTACTGTTTTTTGTTGTTTTGAGAGTGGGATATGGAGGACAGCAGACATTTTCATAGCGCCCGTCTCTGAGCATTTTCCTGCAGTGGATCGACATCAGAGACTTGAGGATCTGCATGTAGTTACTAGTAGCGAACATTGTTTCTACTAGCTTCTTGTTACTACTAGTAAGGCACTTGTTACTAGCGATGCACTTGTTACTAGTAGCGAACATTGAACATTGTTACTAGTAACTAAAAAGATCTAGAAAGGCAGCTTAACTTCCTGCTTCCAATGTTTGACCTCTTCTTCGGCGCGGAAAACCCGCTTTGCCAGGTTTGCCAGCCAGCTATGTGATCCGCCGGGTCATTCGGGTGGAAGATTCCAGGACGGGCTGTTTGGATTCCGTGGACGAAGCACTGTCATCGGTGGACCAGTTCCAGTTCCAGCTGGCGCGACCTGACGATCTGGGCACGACCTGTTTGGTGATCTGCACGCGAAAAAAAAAAAGCGCGTGGCCGAACAACAGATTCATAGACATCCATAAGATATCCTTTCAAGCACATTTGCAACGGCGATGACTTTGATCATTGTGTGTCGAACAGAACACAACAGGAAACCCATGATTCTGACGGCCGAAACCTCTCCAGCAGCTGCAGGATGTGGCGTCGCTACACTGCCAAGCGTGACAAGCTGCGTGAGCGGCATGCAGAGGCCATTCCGGAGCCCCCAGTGGAGACTGCAGGACCTGCGCCTCCGGGATCCTCCTGAAGTGGAAGGATTGGAAGGAGAGTTGATGTGTCAGATAGGTCAGATAGGTTAGAATATGTTATATAAACAATTATATACAAAATCTAATCGACAATTCTGTGGACCTATAGTTACGCGCAAACTATTTGGGGATTTACATCACTTGTCGTGCAAGCAATTCTTGTGTCATCGGGAGCAAAAGTTGTTGACTCAGTGGCCCTGTGGGCCATGGTTGATAGAGAAGGGAGATGGGGGATTATCATAAGTCCTGTCTTATTTCGTCATGAGCTGAACATCGGCCCCTAAAATCTGGAAGAATTTGCAGACCCCCCACGATTTCTGCGATGGCTCTTCTTTGGAGAGTGATTTGTCTCCGAAGAGCTCCAGTGATTTGGATGGGAGTGAACCAAAGGAGCAGGGGCCGGTGATGTCCGTGGTTGGAGTAGCGTTTAATGGACTGCTGGGACTGTTTGGATGATAGATGTGGCATTGGCATCCCGGCAACGGGCTCTGGTTGCTCAAGCTGACCTGCAGGCATGGCAGTCACAGTTGGAAACCAGCTGCCCTGCCCGCAAAGCTTTGCTTTTGTCTGAAGCTGAGCCGGGGGGGCCGCGCCTTCTTGGCCGCTGTACCGGCCGGGCGGAAGCGCATGGAGCCTGCCGTCTTCACCGCTGAACTGAGACACCGGCTTGGGGTGGCTGAAGCTTCCGCCGACGGATGGTGCCCTCGGTGCGATGGTGTGCTCGACACCTTCTCCTTGCACGCCGGGGTCTGCATAGCCGGCAGCGAGCGGAACCAACGTCACCACGCTCTACGGGACTTGGTGTGCACTTGGGCGGACCGGGCTGGCCTGCAGCCAGAGAAGGAGCGACCTGGCCTACTTCTCCCACGGCGCCCTGAAGACACTGGCGTTGCTCGTCGGCGCCCTGCAGACATCTTTGCCCCTTGCCTCTCTGGCAAGCCTACTGCATTTGACTTCGCCGTTACCGGCTTTCAGCGGCAGGCTAGCTTAGCAGACGCAGGGCGGCACGGAGGAGCTGCAGCTGCAGCCTACTCAGCTGTGAAAATAGCTCACTTGGACACCGCTTTGTGCTGCCAGCAGCAAGGCCTTGCTTTTGTCCCCCTGGTGGCTGAGACGACAGGTGCTTGGGACCCTGCAGCGGCAAAGGTTTTGCAGACCATTGCCCGTGCGGTTGCCGCCCGCGAACAAGTCGAGCCTGCGGCACTGTTTTCTGAGATGCTCCAAGAAACTTCGGTGTTGATCCGCAGCTTCCGAGGAAGGGCTGCCTTGCAGCGCCGTGCTGACGCTGCTTTGGCGGACGCCCCTTCCCATGCTGCCTCCGCGGCGGCTGTGGTCCTGCAGTCTTGAAGCCCTACCGAGATGCACGGCTTGACCCATCCTTCTTGTGTAGCCTTGTATAGTTGGCGCTTGGCGGTGTCCTCGGGCACTCTCATTTGCTGCCCTTGCTGTGCCGCCGCCGCCTCCTTTTTTTTCTCTTTCCTGTGCAGTGCTTGTTGGTGGGATGGCAACCCTATCATGCTTCCCCCGGCAGTTTGTTCTTTACTTCCACCGGCGCCACGTGTTTTTGCTCGTGCCTGTTCTCGTTCTTGCTCCTCGCTTGGCAGGTTTTTTTTTTGGCCTAGCCCCCTATCCCTGTTTCGGCCTCTCGCGAAGGTGAGCGGCCGACCAGCGATCCCCACTGGAGGGATCATGTGGAAGGGCTTGTATAGGGATTTTTTTGAAGGGGATGTCCTACGATGTCCCTTTTCCCTTGCAGTCTCATATCTCACGAACATTTGGAATGACATCCGCCATGTAAACGCATGGCCAAGTCAGATCGGACATTACTATTTAAAGCCTTGATTTGTAATCCTGCAAGCACCGTGTCACATTTTCAGAGCTTTGGGCAACTTGGGTGTTACTTGTCGACGCAGCATGTTGAAGCTGCTCGACAGGTTGCTTTAAAAGTCAACATCATAAACCACAGCCAATTTTTGATGAACCGGACCATCGTTTTCGTGATCCTTGAACCGGACCATGGTGAAATCGCAGGACTGGTGGGCGAACATCCCGGCGTCTTCACGCCGGTCGATGCACAAGCCACTTGGAGGTCAACGATGATCATTTTTGCATTTTGTATCCACCAGCGAGTCGATGGCACAGCCTAGGGCCTAGAGTCAAGTAGATCTGCCTCACAATTAGCCCAATGATTTTTGAGTGATTAACGCATCTACTTGACCATTTCAATGTGTGCAAATAGTAACTATTAAGGGCATTGGTGGGTGTTGGAACCTTGACGTGTGGCATTTCTATGGCCCCCCCAAACGAGTCCATTCATGGCATCCAATGCTCGACCGAGGCAAACGAGTTCTATCTGTGGCATGGAACTCATATCAGAGCTGCGCTGTCCATTGCGCACGAGGAATTTCAACTCCTGAAGTCTTTTGTAACACGAGAGGCGGAAGTGTCTTGTGGTGGGATTTTCCTGGAGTCCTGATCTGAACACCAAGATAGTTTCTTCATTCAAGAAAAGAATCTTACAAACATTTTTGAAGCTGGTGCTTCTCTAAGCTGAAGGAGAGTCCTACATAAAAAGAGTCCCATTCAAGTTGCAGCATGCCCACCTGTTTGCAGGACTTCCGGATCGATTTGGCAGGATCGAACGCTGGCACCATGTACGGCAAAGGCTGCTATTTAGCAGAGAATTGCCACTGGTTGCAAGCAGATGATCTGTTGAATGCTTTGGACTATGGATGGCTATGGGATCTGGTTGGAATGTGGCGAGCCCTTTTTTCTACCTCGTGACCTTTTCCTTGCTTAAGGCCCTTCATCATTGGTCCCAGTGTCCTAGTGTATCAGTCCTTGTAGCGGGGAAGGTGGCGGCTGGAGGGTTGAAGAAGGGTGACTGAGATAGAGATCACTTTGACTTGATCAATCAACCGTGGTTCCAAGTTGACATTGAGGAAATGCCACGACATGGACAGCCTTAGTTCACAACTGACGATGACGACGACGACAACAACAACACCAACAACCACGACGACAACAACAACAGCAACAACACAATATCACATAATAATATATATATATACACATACACATACTTTACACATACAATTGACATCACACATTATTCTGATTTTTGTCGGGGAACGACCAAGTGTAGCTCTGAAGCAGCCACATATTAGTTAGCCATTCCATCCCTCCACGGAGGTGGTGTCAAACTATTGTTTTAGATGGTTTCTGTAACATGGGCATGTACTTCTCACCAATATGCACGAGGATGTGGTTTATCTTCCCTTGTCAGTTTGGGCCACAGATCAGCCTTTCATCCTCTCTTATCCGGCCACCGCACCGCCCAAGGCACCAAAGCTGATGAGTACGCCAGGGATGAGCCTCATGGTACTTCGGCCACCATGTGTGACGGGATGGGCGGGCGGAATCGCCAAGACAGGTCGTGCAAAGCTGCGACGGATCCCAAAGCACGACGGATCCCATCGACGGATAGACAGATTGGTGGGGCCACATTGACTGATTGCACAAACCCGTGGGGCAAGAGATACTCATGCAAACTGGTAGGATCACATCATCAGGCTGGTCATTGATCATGCAAACGGGTAGAATCGCTGAGGACAAGTCACAGCAAGAACAGTTCTCGGTTTGATGACGCAAACTAGTTTGGCCGCGCACTGTAGTTTGATGATGCAGACCCGAAGGATCACAGAGATCGATCTTTCGACTGGTAGGATCACACAGCAATAGATAGCATAAGGCATGAACCTGCAGGCCTGTACCATCACGACCGTCTCCATGCAAACTGGTGTGTTCACCGGCCATAGGATTTATCGTGTGTTCACCGGCCATGAACCCTCCGCCTTTAGGCCCCGATCACGTCGCTCTGCGCGTCACAGCGGTTTTCTGGTCGCTCTGAGTGGATGGGACAATCTAAGTTCTACGCGGTTGCTCCAAAAAAGAAGTCAACATATCTCTTGAATGCTTTTTTGATGTAGGTGATATATACTCATATTAATAGACAATCCTTTGTGTATTAATAATGGTTGCCCGGCAAAGAGGACTGGTTGGGTCTCAGATTCCACTTCAACACAACTGCTGAGGCTATTATGAAGGCGTTTTCGCACTGCTTCTTTGCCGTGCCCCATGGCCGCACGATCCCATCGAGTTTGTTTATGTATATAACTATAACTGATTACTGTACAATAATATACAATTACCAATATGTTATATGTTGTAGTACATGAACATTATATTTGTATTATAGTATATTAATTTTTGTTGCATGTGAGATCATTCATAGGATGTGGGAGATGCATACAAATTATATAACTACCATCCTTCATGATCCCCAGCACTTGTTTCTGTAAGTCCCAGAGTGAAGTGCACAAGATTCAGGTAAGCGGATTTATGAGTGTGTCAGGTTGATTGGAAACTACGGACCTAGACACCATTCGAGACCTTTCGAGTGCGTTTCCATAGTAAACCCTTCTTGTACAAGAACCACCGAGCAGTGGTCAGAGGTGACATGATGAAGTAATCGGCGCGGCGGAAAAGGCACTACAAGTACCCCTTTCAGTGTCTGGGGTCACAGGTGTGCATGGGGAAGTACTTGTACACGACCGAGCGGTACGAGGAAGCAGGCGCGACTGCACAAGGTTGTGCTGGGGATTGCGAGACCAATGGGTGAGCTGGGTCATTGGTCCAAACAACATTTGAACACTTTGACTCCTGGCATGCAATCTGACCCTTTCACTGATGTTCAAATGAATTTTATTGGTAGATCCTTTATGTCTGAAACGGACCGGGGTACCGGGCGCCCACAAAAGCAAATGCGCCGGGTTGGCCCTAATCTTTGTAAAGTGCATCGAGTGTCACACCCGTCATGGGAGAGCAAACCAACCGTGCAATGGGAAGTACCCAATAGAAGAACCTTGCCATCCGACTCAGTAGGTGACGCAGTGTTGGAGATTGTTCTCCTTGCGTCCAACCATTTTTGGTTTGACAGGCTACAAGTGGTGCTTGTTCACAGACCAATTTGTGTGAGGGAATCATGGACAAGATCCACGGACACACGGAACATCACGGGGCACATTTCTTTTTGTTTCCCGCCACAAAGGAATTTGGACTACAGATGCTTGTGGACCCCTCCCACCAACCTCCACCAAGCTTTCTGATCTTTCGGGTGACACGTCACCCGAGAGCCGACGCGATCCGACCGGTGCAGCGGGGCGGAGGTCGCAAGGTCCAATCGGGTGAGTTCGACAGCACGGTGGGCGACAGGAGCCGTGCGCCCGTTTGATCCGGGGTTTTGATGCTCTGAATCGAACCAGCGGATCTGAGATCCTGGAGGAAGAGATCGTTCCCTTTCCAGTGTTTCCAGGTTTTCTGGGTATGTCATGGAAGACAATTCGGACTTCCTCTACGAAGGCTGGTTTGGAAACTGGTTTGGAGTTCGGGTGCTTTCGATCGTGGCAGGACCAAGAAGGCCAACACCTTCAGAGAGTTCGTGGTTTACAACCCCGACCAGGCGAGGTGGACTTTTGGGCCCCAAGGACAGACGTGGCGCCATGTAGACATCGAATCATGCAAAACATCGGAAAGCCAAACAGAACTTCTTGTCGGATTGGGAGAGATGAATGGAGGCAGGTCACTGTCGTTTCTTCCAGCTTTTTTTCGGTCCAGTACCCTGCTGGTCGCGAGATCCAATGGGGCTGGCAGCATTCCGTCAGCGTGACTGTGTGGGCCAGGTCTATCCGGAGTACGTCATCCTGTACTCCCGCCAGCCTCGGGCGGGGCGGGGGCCGTGGATCGGAAGGTCTGCTGAGTCGGCTCGGATCGGGGTCTGGTTGGATCGGAGTGCCACTTGGGGAAGCTGGGGCAAGATCTTCAAGATCGCTTCGGCCCTGTTGTCAGACGGTGTAGAACTTGTCTAGGGACATCCATTGTGTTTGTTGAACCTCCAACGGCTTAGGATCAAGACTGTTTGAGCAGGGGACCGTGGACCTAGAAGATCATTTCTACATCGAAACCCAGGTAAAGCACGGGTTTTCTGGCCAAGTCACTGATGAAGTCCTCTTTGTGAAACCTACCAGGGCCCTCCGGGCCGTCAGTTTTCAACAGCATGTCTCTCAGATAATTCTGCGTTGGAAAAGGACACCCATTTCATTTGAGGCAAGGAATGATAGGAGGCTTCTTCATGGAAAGTGTGCGGCCAAATGGGGTGTTTTTCAGTTCGACTTCTGGGGATACCCTGGGTGTTCCTGCTCTTCCACAAAAAGATCCGCACTCCGTTTTGACCCGGAGCACCGAAACCACTGCGACGACCCACAGGCGGAGGCTTTGGAGAGCTTCTGCTTTCGCTTGTCAAAGCTCCATGCAGAGCTCCCGGTCTACTGGCAGCACTGTCATGTGAATCCCACCATCGACCGCTTCGAGGTGAGGGGACCTACGGTCCATGTCCTGTGACCTCCGGGAAACGGAGTGGAACTAGGGCGCCAAAACGCCAAAACGGCAACAACCACAGCTTAGACGCAGATCTGGCGACTTCTTTCCCTGCGGATGAAGTCACTCGGCCCAGATGAAGTCACTTTGGTGGTCCAACTTCAGCACCTGGGAAGGAAGGGATGGCCTCCAATTGCTTCAAGTCTTTTTCAGATGGATGCTCCAAGTCTAAAGATCTTCGGTGATCTTCAGCCTTCACTATCCCACATGATGACCCCCCCACCGCCTATTGGAATGGTTGATACATCACCTGGGTCCCGGACGGCAGCGGGCAAATAGTTCTAACCGCCGACCCAAGCATGCACAGTTGCAGCATGTTGCAACGGATTGATTGAAACAAGCATTTGGAGGGCCGTGAAATACTCTTTGCGCTGAAACCCTCTCTTCACCATGCCCTTCTGCCCATTGCTCCCCGCGCAGGCGCAGTACCTCGTCCGTGCGACCTCGCGGCGTTTGCTGGAAGACCTGGCGAATGCTTGCCACGAGCTGAGCGAAGGGTGGAGGAACTTCGAATGCAGGCTGATGCAGAAGAGAATTGACTAATTGACCAATTGGCTTGACCCTGGCCGCCTTTTCTGTAGAACATTTGCATTCCAGAGGGTGTGGCGCTGCCTCAGCTCTGCCTATGAGGGAGGTGGAGTGTTCAGAGGCTCCAAGATTTGAGTGAAGAACCACGCCCCGCAATGGTTGTGTGTTCAGATCGTCAGCCACTCAACTTCTTCAGGCCACTGTGCTGGGAAGAAGGCCAAGCCGTGTCATCGATTTGCTTTTTGGCTTGAACCTGTGTCCAAAAGGATTGACCTCCTGGTAATTATCCTTTAGATTCACCCCTGATCTCCGTCGCCATACCAAGTGCCAGACGTCCTCCAGCTCCTGGCTCCGTCCGCTGCGCACGTCACGCGCGTTAAGCGCGTCAAGCGCAGGTCCTCGCCGCTCGGCGGATCGAAGTGTCCAACATGTGGAACCGCTACGTGCGCTTCAAGCTGAGGTTGGGCGAATCGCGATTCGCGGCTTTTGGGGGGGGGAAGCCCGCGCGCGGTGTCTGTCGGTTTTCACATAGATTGGTCGCTTGGGACTAATCTCTTGAGAAGTGATGGATGTGATGGCTTGATGAGCCACTTCGGTTAAGGAATTCTTGGAGTGAGTATGTTGTAATTAGGTGTTGATGTTCGCAGTAGACGCTGCAAAAGGAAGAAGTGGCTGAAGTTTCGCGGAAGCCGCAGTGGCTTCAAACACTTGTCTTTGACATTGTTGCTTCAGGAATTTTTCTCGGTCAGTCCACTGAATTCACTGTGATTGGAAGAGAGGATGTAATTCACCCACACACCGATGCCCAAGACTTGCGCACCAGGCTGAAGGAGGAGCTGGCGGCCTCCGGGTTGCCAGCCTTTGCCTCTGCACAGCTCTTGGAAGGGAAGATGGACCGGGGAGCCCCTGGGCTGCAAAAGGACGAACGGACGGGTGATCTTCTTCCCAGGTACTTTAGGGGGAAGGAACAATCCCACGAAAACTATGCTCAGATGCTCACGGAAAAACATAACCTTATCTTATCGCTGGCAGTTCGGTGTGTTTGTGTGTGTGTCCAGCCATTTTGCCCGCAAGACTCTGAGTGGACCTTGCCTTGGGTTCTGAGGAGATCCTGACCTACACCTACCTGAAAAACCTTTATGGACAAGGCTGGAGCGAATCGCTGTCTTCATTGGCAAACATAACCCGCGCAACAGGGCAGTTCCCAGATCCGATGTGCTCATGTTGAACCATCGTCCACCCTCCACTGATAATCTGATAGGGTCTGCTGGCTACCCTATTTGATCTTCCCCCATACTGGTGTGCTGAATGCAGTGACTGCACAGAGGATCCAAAAATTGACTATGATCAAGGTTCTAGCTGCAGGTTGTAAGTCTTCGGAATCAGACACATTGCCAAGAACAGCTATGGGAGTTCTTGCCTAAGAGACCGGTTACGTTCACCAGTCTTCTATAATCTGAGCTCTTGGTGAACGCGAATTTGGCGAGGTGTGCAGACCACAATCTCCGTGGACGGTCTGGAGGATGTCATTCAGGAGAATCTACTAGTAACAAGTGCATCGCTACTAGAACAAGGGCATCGCTACTAGTAGCAAGAAGCTGAGACATTCAGGAGTCGACTTTCGGGTCCAGCTTTCGGGTTCCGACTCTCCCGTGAAAAAAACGAGGCATCGGTCAGACGGTTGCAACATGTCATCGGCTTAACAATCATGCGTTTTACAGTGAATTTTGCGTTTTGGGCTGGTGAGATTATTGTTTGGAGTTCATGAACTCCAAAACGATGAGTTCATAAACTCTGGCAGCATGCTTAGCTGAAGAATCTCAAAATTGCCCCCCATTGGACGAAGACTTCATTGGATGAACATGAATGCCAACGACAATGTTGTGAAGTCGATGGCAATGTTGTGGAGACGATGATAATGTTGTGAACCCTTTGATTATGATGTCAAGAGGATGATAATGTTCTATGAAAAAACGATGATAATGTTGTGAAGTTGGGCTAACCGGCTAACCCCACCTTTGACCCAACATGTTGCAACCTATCGTTTTAAGATGTTTTAAAATACTTTTACATACTTTGTCAGGGTTAACGATGTGTACCTGCACTGGGTGGTCGGGCACGAAGACGGAAAGGATTTGGCATCCCGGAGTATTTGTCAGCAGGGCACACCAATATGGCAAGGACACATGGCAGTCCTTTTTTTTCTACTAGTAACAAGTGCATCGCTTCTAGTAACAAGTGCCTTACTAAGAAGCTAGTAGTAGCAGGTGCCTTACTAGTAATAACAAGTGCCTTACTAGTAGTAGCAAGAAGCCACAAGTGCCTTACTACTGGGAGCAAGAAGCTACTAGGGGCTCCTGGCCATACTAGTTACTAGTAGTAACAAGAAGCTATTAGAATCTATTTCCTTTTTGCTTTCCAAGAGGACTCTGCAACTGGACGGGCAAAGATTCTGACCCGGGCAGGACGTGACCCCCCCCAAAAGGGAGCATCCAGACGCGCAAGAGGTCACACAAGACTCAAACGTCCAGTCACTGGGGCTGACAACAGGGGCATTTCTCCGGTGGCAGTTCTGGGAGCTGTACTAACCTCCCCTTCAATGCAAGAGGGATCCAATGGGTCTTGCTGAAATAATCTGAAATACAACCAATATGATCGACGTTGAATGTGTTCAGAGTAATTAACAGGTTTTGATCAATGCTGCCTTGAGGGCTGAGGGATAGTTGTTTGAGGCCGCCAGAATACCCCTGCGATCGAGAGTGAAACTTTTCGATCGAACCCAATCTCAGGGCCTTCAAGCCTTCATCCAAAGATGTTCTGATCTCGAGTGCTTATTGTGATGGCACCCGCACATCATTAGATCCCAAGCACTCCACTGCCAAGGTTAGTATATCAGACCCCATCCGATCTTGTTGTATTGTTCACGAGGAGAAGCTACTTCAACAAATTCCATAAGCTAATCCATAAACCACACGGCTGAGATGTCAACCTGTGATGTTTGGCGTCGGTCTGTCCACAGCCAGGAGCACCTACTCTGGCATGGGACCTCCAGAGAATCGGCGGAGGCGATTGCCGCCTGGCGGACGGAACGCAGGATTTGCATCTACTGGGTTGTGCGAATGAAAGGCCGACTGAATGGAAAGGATAGATATTGGTGAAGGCAATACCAATCTATGACGTAATAATGTCATATGTTGAGACTTGTGAAAAAAAACGTCTTTGGCTTCTCTGGCAGGTTCAAGAGAACTGAAAATGGTCCGAAGAAAAAGTTTGGACCGATTTAGATCCTCAGGCACTGGAAGTTGTTTGTCGAGATTGGTAGAGTCCAAGAACATCATGACTTAGCAGCTTCGCTCTCAGCACTTTCGGGTCACGGCCCTCTATCTATTGCTTGGGTTGGGAGTCAAGAAGACGGTTGGGAGCACCAAACCTGGTAAAAGGAATCTGGCAAGAACTTACTGGAGGAAGTGTTCTCCAAGCAAACACCTCATTGGCCCATATTGGCTCAGTACTCCAGCACTATCCAGCCCTCAATGTAGTTAGCCGTCCTTGCCAAGGTCAGAGCAGACTTTAGAATTCCTCAGGACGCGAATGCCCGGGACGGGGTGGACGATTGATGGAGAGTCCTGCAGACTGAAGATGAAGACAATGACGGGGTGGCCCAGAAGTTCATCATGCCTTCAAAGCTCCACGGAGCTGACTGGAGTTCACTGCCGAAAGATTGAAAGATGTTGAAAGGGTCCGGACTGGCTGGTAATGCTCTAGTGTGAAAGCTACGCTCACTTTAAGGAGTATGCCAGCTTGGAGCTTCAAGCAGCTACCCGAGACTTAATCCTGTCGAAATCGACAGCGCGTAGAGGAACTCGTTTGGTCGGGAAAGAAGTCGAGTCCGTCCTCGAAAGTCGGAAATTCCAGGGGCAATAGGATCGTGGTCATACTGTTCTTTTTGAAGTGAGCACATGTTTGTTGGACCAAACACATGCCAACATGTACTCAGTATTACAGCGTGTTGCCATCCCAAAGAACTAGAAACCCAACGTTGGATCTTCATCACCTTGACTTGCAGGATGCCAAACACGGCTTTCGCTTTGGAAGCGGCTTGTACTTTGCAGAGGATCTGAGCAAAAGTCTGAGCTATGATCCTTGGATCACAGATGTTGGATGGGAAGGGTTTTGTCCCAGACCAACCCTTTTAAAGGCTGAAACACAAGATGGAGGGACAATATTCTGATAGGCAAGGCACGGAGGGATTTCCGGCTGAGCACTTATTTGTCTTAAGATGGTGCTTGGACCCATTTCAATCGCTTAGCTTCACAAAGAAAGTCCAGCTCTGAACCTCCACTCCGAATTCCCGGAAAAGGTCCCTCTCCCCGTTGGATGTTTGAGGCACCACTGGAGCTTGGCTCTGATGGCCGACGATCCTCTCAGTTTGTGCCACTCGATGAGTTGAGAGAAACGACGCCGAGTAGTTGAGAGGGACGTGTGCAAAAGCCACTCGGTGAGGGACGTGTTTCTTGGAGTAGTGAGACCTTCCAGAAAAAACTTGGGTTTGGTCGTCCGTATGCTCGTTGGATAATGCTGAATGACTGGAAGGGGCCTCTGGGAAATCGTAGGCATCTGGGCTTTGGAACTTTAGGCACTCTGGAGTTCTGCACCGATCAGGTCAAACCAACCCTTTTTGATGAGTGCACCATTCCTAGTTCCTAGCCGGCTCTGAAGAGATTGATGCACGGCCTTTACTCTTCCACTTTATTCTTCTTGATGATCTTCGGAATGCTGAGTTCACCCAGACCCCGCTGTGTGCATTTTTGCAGAGTTTTGAAACTCAAGTTGGACATTATATACTGACATCTGAGGGGGAAACACAGTCGTTCTAGAACACCAAGCACTGGAAGCATTCTTGCCTAAACACCGCCTCTAAGGCTTCTTTGTCGTGTGCTGTGCGGACAGATGCACTACACGGAGCAAATGACCGATAGCAATGCCACTGCGCAAGCCAAGCAGGTTGGAGCGCGCGAGGTCGATGGGACGTGTGAGTTGAGCTGTCTGTGTTGGTGCAACCTAAAGGCCTCGGCAACGGAAGCACCAAACAGCCAAAACGTTTTGGGACGCGGCCCTAGCCTGCCCTCAAAAGAAGCGTCCAGAATGATTCCTGTATTTTTGCTGGACCGCGCATGCTGGCTATTCAAAGGTTTTTAGCTCGGATTCGCCGCTGACATTTGCAGGTGGGAAAGCACGCGGTGCTGGCGAACCCCTCGTCCAAAGGACCACGGGAGTTCATTGTGCTAAGTGAAATGCAGGCAGGATCCGAGCCTTGCGCTCAACTGAGGATGTGTTGTGATTCGCATGGGGTCGCAAGGAGTGGGTTGTCAAATGATGTAAGCAGGTCTTTAGTCTTTAGTTTTATATAAAGATTAGCCGGATTTTTTTAATGGTTACTGGCATAGTGCTTGCACAATTGTGAGTGCCCTCGCAGGTATATCCTGAGTATTTGGTGGAGCTGGCCCCGAAGGGGTCAATGGAACCCTAGCAGTGTAGGAGGTGCCGTGGCTCTGGAAGAGACTCACTGGATCTGCCAGATTATATGATGTGAAAGGGACCTCATGCAAGCAGGGGTGTTTGCACTCAGAGTTGGCACAATATGTTATTTGAATGTGTCCGGGCAGACTAGAGAGACAGGAATGTGGCACCATTGCGAGAGTGAGACCAGGTTCCCTGGCAAAATACTTGGGGTTCCGAACACGGTCTCTTCGGACTTTAGGGGTTCGATCCTATACTTCTGTACCTTGTTTGCGTGGATGCATGGTCACTGTACCGAAGCCTATCATTTGGGTACGGGTACACCAGCTTTTGTACTGTGTTTTGGTGTTAAGCGCCAACCGCAGGCCGTTCACTTCCGATCAACAGGCTTTACACAGCCTCTTTACTTTGTGTCCTCAGAAGCCTTTGTGTGCTAGAGCTACCATTGCAATGTGTTTGGACATTTTTGCGCAGACATTTTCAAAGAACATCTTATCATTCTTAGGGCTCTTACGTTTTACTTTCCTACCTGGAGTGCCAAATCAATTTGTTGCTCAAAGCAGGTGTCATCAATAGGTTCACGCGATTGAAGCTTTTGGTCAGTTGTCTCGGGCCACATGACCCAAAGTAGAGAGAGAGAGTAGAAAGCAACAAGACCAACCGAGCAAAGAGTTGATTGTTTATGAATCCATATAATTTGTTGATAGAGATGCGACACAAACGGGCAACTGCTCATACTTGTGAATCTAGTAGAAGAAAGACAGAAAGAATTAACACCATTTTATGCAACTAATGAATGGTCGAGTGCTCCTGTAACTAGCCACCAAAAGAATCAATCAGACCGCATTGAACATATTTGCGAGAATCATTGGTCTAGCTTTGCTTCCAGAGTCGGGCTGGATGACCCTTCCAGCGATCACTTGCTAAGTCAAGTGCTGGAGATGGCATCAGACTTGGATTCATTCCTCGTCCAGCATTGCGTGTTAGATGTTCGGTTCCCCGCACGGATGGAATATTGAAAATGAACAATTTAAAATTAATTCTAATAGCTTTTTGTTACTACTAGTAAGGCACTTGTTACTACTAGCGTGGCACTTGTTAGTAGTAACAAGATAAATGCGCTGCTTGCATCGATCTTTTGAAACATAGCTGATGCTGGAGAAGCTAGTAGTAACAAGTGCCACGCTACTAGTAACAGGTGCCTTACTAGTAGTAACAAGAAGCTAGACATTTCTGATGCTCGTGTGATTCCGATGTTCACATGCCAAAGATGGCGGTGCCAAATTCGCATGTCACAGCGGCTTCTCTCCGATGTGAGAGCAAAGGTGGCCCAATGAAGACCGGATTTAAGAAAAAGGCCTCCACACTCCACACCCTCTCCATGTTCTTCCTCCAATATTCTTCTGTGTTCTTCCCTCTTTGGTCACCATCCGCTGAGACAAGACACTGAACCTGGGCACTCGGACTTTGGATTTTGAAGACTTTTCTTCCAGGAACAGGAACAGCGTCCGTCCTTCAGCTTTTGGGCTGCAGGCTCAGGAGACTTGTTCTTCAACGGTCTCAGTTGACCAAAGTCTGACGGACGGCGAGAAAGCAACACACGGGATTTTGGAGCTACTCTCTAAGTCTGACACAGTGTGAATAGATTCAGGAATTAAGACCCAAACGTCCAGCTCAAAGCCATCAAACAGATGTTCTATAACTCACCTATCAGGACCTATGGACGATAAGACAAACCTTGAACACATGGAGCAAATGGCTTAAGGGGTCCTATTTTTTGATTTTTGAATTTGTTGAATCTGCATGCCTTTTGGTCCCGAACTCAAAGCACACCACTCACCAGCAACACTTTCAGATCTTGGATTTTGTCCCCATCTTCTTCCGCTTGGGGGCGGGTGCATGCTCTGGCGGCGTCCATCGCGCGTCTGCCGTGCGGGTGCCGCGTGCATAGCAGCACGCGCAGTGCGCGCAGCGGCGATCGGTGCGATCGGGCTCAGCGGGTTGGTCCAGGCATTGCGCAACGCGGACCATTGACTGGGAAGGCTTGGAGGATTTAGTTTGTATAATATATCGGGTAGATCGGATCCCAATGAAGGTGAGTCAACCATACAGCTCCCTAGTGGATAAAAACGATTGCCAATACATGTTTGATCATTTTTTGAAGCTGATTCACCACTTAATAACCCAGAACTCACAGACAAATCCCCACATTCCATGAACCACAACCTGGAAACTGTCAAGCTTGTCCAGAGTTGATGTATATAAGAATCCTGTGTCTCCTGGAGAGCAAGACACTTTGACCATCACTTGTTACTCGTGCAGTAAACAGGAGAAGGTACAAATTCAACGTAGCTGTTCTTGTTGGATTCAATAATTGATCAGTTGGTACACGAGTTTCCCAGTTTCCCTTTCTCCCCGCCTGAAGTTCTTGCACGAACATCAGCCATCAGCCAAAGAAATCGAAAGAAATCCTACACCCTTGGTGAAACACTACTGTAGCCCTCTCAATCTAACGATACTGCCACCACATTTGCATCAAATTCTATGCTGAGAGTTGTCAAACCTAAATTATCAAGGCCAAGTCATTCAAAGGGCTATGCTGTATATGATACAGTATATGCCAGGTATACATGTTTTCAACACTGGTGTCCAGACAACTTGGCTACTTGGTTCTTCTCTCCAGGCCACCGAGCCCACCTTCATGAAGACCATCGGGATGATCACCGGGGTCCGGGCCACATGAGTGCGTCTGCGGTGTGTGACGATGGTTCAACAAACTCTTGATGCAAACTTCTCTTCCTTTGCGTCGCGGGTTACTAACGGGGGGGTTGATGGCCATGCCATGCCCATTCGCCCGCTTCCAAGAGGAAAAAGACTCCAAGGGAGCCATGCTTATGTACACCTATCAATGGAAAGGAAGACTGGCTGCACGGTTTCCAGGTTATCAGTGACCGGTCTCTTTTGGTCTCCTTGATGCGAGGTTTAGCAAGGAACATGTTCAGGTGATCACCTAGCATGTTCTTTTCAACGAGATATGCACCTCTCGTGATGACGCTCATGTGTTTAGGATGACTTCTGGTGAGCTTGCGCCACTTCTGTATAGATGTTTTCCAGAACTCTTCGCTGTGTTGGATATGCTATCTTGCTATTTTCCTTACGGGTCTGACAGCACCAGTGCCCGAGCCTGACAGATTAGCTATGTCTCCGGCATCGACTACTACCGAGGCAGCTTGTCAAAGTGAATGGTGCACTGATGTGCCGCTGTTCATTTGCACTCTTTTTTCTTGGAAATCGAATGATGCCTCTTACTTGCAAAGTTTGAAGAGACCTTAACATGTTCCTCGCTCGCGCCTGCTGATGACAGCTATCGTACGACGTGAAAGGAGACACCAAACAGGTTAAGCTGCATGCGAACTACAGCTATTCGGAGTAATACCTTGCAAGCTAGGTTGACTGACAGCCAGGGTGTTGAAAGGGTGTTGCGGAAGAATATCAAACAGCTGCCTGTTTGTGTACCTGGGTTGCCTGGTTGCCTTCACGGTGTTTTCGCAGGTTTCTTCTATTTTAGCCATCCCTATCCATCGTATTGGCCTGTTGACATCCATCATCATCCATCCATATGAACGCTTCGGGGGACTTTCAGGGTTTCCGGGCGTTTGAGGCATCAACGAGCGCGTCGCTCGGCTACTACCTGGCAAGATCATGCCTCACAACTCAGAGATGGTCATTGTTTCGGTGGACTGTGGCTTGGACGAAGCCAATCGGAGGACAGCTATGACAGCTATGTGAGGACGCCTTTTTTTTGGGAAGAAGGTAAGTTACGACAGCTATGTGATGCTGTGTGTAAAATAAAGGAAGCTCAGACTTTGAAAGGATATTATTAATATGATATTACCACAAGACTTGATGACTTTCTCCTGCCATCAATGGATGTTTGGATGTTTTTGGATTGAATTTCAGCGAAGACAGCCTCCTCGCAGACTCGATCGAGAATGTGACATCTCAGGTGATGAATATGTCAGGCTCTTGAAGGAAGAAGACACGGAGGGCGTTCAGGAGCAGTGTCGACCGAGCTTTGTGCCGATCCAGACCCAGATTTGCAGCATGGTAGTGAGACATGGTACCAATATGGTTTGTTCTGGGATGAGAACCGTTATCAATTCTTATCATTGGTTGTAGAGCACACATATGGATCGTAGAGAGTTCCTTCAGAGGCTTGGCTATCACAGATCGCTGTAACATGATCATGGCTGTGAAGGCTTGGAATCGGTTGAGCTTGTGGGGGCAGTGGTGTCCAAACAGTTTTTGAGCTACAGCTGTTGCTGCATGTACAGTGGTTTCAGAGTAGATGAAACAATCCCCCAGAGTCATCTTAGACGGGGGTCCATATAAACCACGTTTTGGGGATTGTGCCATCTACTCTGAATCCACTAGTATGTTATCCCCATCTACTGGATGGCAATCTACCGGGTTCTCCAAGAACAGAACTCATCACGTTGTGACTCCAACTTGCGATGCACTGACTATCGTGTGGGATTGTTCGGACTGTGGCAAGTGTTCAATGAAGCAACATTATTTCTAGCACAAGTGGATTGACACTCCAATCATGTGACTGTGAGTTAAAATCCAACCCCTCAAACCGTGGTAGGTTGGCACATTGACATTACTGATACTGATAATGTTCATTTCACATTATTTCCCCCACCCAATAAATTGCATTGGTAGTTGGCTGGGTGATCCATTGATCCATGTTGTCAGTGAGAGCAGAAGAGGGACACTCACACTTTGTTCCATGCACCTGTAGGAGTATCTTCTGCGTGCTGCATGGAAGCTAGATCGGGTGATGGTGGACTTTATCATTATCGCCTCCAACACCGCTCATATTTGCTATAGCCACCTGGAGGTCAACTCTCTTGGTTTGTTCATTGCAATTCGTTTTCAGACCGGAGAAATGTCTCTGGCTGCCCACACCATTGTTTGCGTTTGTGTGCTCCTGCGAATGATAGCACTCTTGTTACAAAGACGTTATTGATAGGTCTCTGTGGTTTCTTTGAGGGCCTGGGCCACACAAAGTACAGTATGGGCTATATACATGGTATCAAAGTGGGTCTAGACTCTTGTGGATGGGAGAAATTTGATCACCCAAATTTGGGACGAGCGACTAGAAATCCTTTCTTCATTGACCCATACTCTTCGAACCTCAACACTGCGACCTTTGTTCAGGAATATGTCACAACGGAGGTATCTATACATGCACAGGAATTGAAGATGCACAATCACTGGCAGTAGCCAGACCAGTGGCAGGTCACTGACAAGATCTCAAGCCCAGAGATCCCTTTACGACTCTGTACTGAGACTTGAACCACCATCCAAATGTGTCGATGTATCAACACATACAACACGACTTGAACAAACACCAATGACGCACGAGATTATATAGACTTGGAAAACATCTGCTCAACATTGTTCTTCAGGTCTTATATCGATGGTCTACTGGTCGAAGGTCGGGCTTCACGACTCCGCACCTCAATGAGGCCCCATGCGTGCGCGGTTTCCGGACCGCCCGGTGCTGCACATCGCAGACTGCGTGGCGAAGGCACCGGTTTGGGAAAACCGTGTCCCGCACAGCTGAAAAAACCGGAAAGATCTTGGGAGATATGAGGATGCAGCAGGATGCACCAAATATGCATGGGTTTACATATGTTTACCAAGAGTTTACCAGAGTTTATCTTACCCGGATTTAAAGACTTACGCCTGACAGCTGGGCACCGGCCAAGAAAGAGAAACAATGGAGACCGTCGCATGCGCGGTGTGTGGCTGTGGCTGTGTGACTGCTAGTTTGTCTTGGGTATGACAGTCCCAGTTTTGGTCTCTGTTGCAGCCCTTGTCACGTTGTAAGCTGTCGCCCGGTCGATGCGTCACGGGCGCATGGCGCGGAGAGGGGGTCGTACAGAAGCAAGAGAAAGACAAAAAGCCAGAGGAAAAGAAAGGGGAAGAGGCAGAGAGGAAGAGGAAGAGAAAGAAGAAAATAAGACGAATAAGAGGAAAAGATGAAAAGAAAGAGAACAAGCAAGAGGAAATGGAAGAGGAACATAGAGAAACTGGAAGAAGAAGAAGAAGGAGAAGAAGGAGAATAAGGAGAAGAAGAAGAGGGAGGAGAAGGAGAAGAAGGGGAAGAAGGGGAAGAAGGGGAAGAAGGGGAAGAAGGGGA